AAATGATTATTAAATCAACTAAAAAAATAGAAATTAAAAATAAACAATAACAATATAAAAAAAAAAATTATATAGAATTCCTATACAACTTACTTTGGACTGCTAGCTTGAATTTAATGAAAAATAAATTGGAAAAACTTTATATTGAGCCTTAAAATTTTTTTAGAATATAGGATAAAAAATAAAATTTAATTAAATATAATAAAGAAATTATAATAATTCCCACTAATTAACACTAAATTTTTTATTTATTATTATAGTTTTAAAATAAAAAATAAATTAAAATTGTATTATTTAAAAAAAAATGAATAATTTTATTTATATTTAATTCGTTTGGTTTTATTTTTTTTGGTGAGCCATTATTTGCAAAGATATGGGTTTCTTCCAAACAAATAATGCCGCAACAGTTTTTTTTATATATTATTTGGTTGTACTGGAGTATATTTAGGATTTCCACGATCCATTTTAATATTTATTGTATAATCAGTGTTTTTTGATATATTAATAAAATTATTATTTTTGTTATTATATTTATTATTGTTATTAACAGCAGAGAACATATTTGAAATATTTTCTATAATTAAAAAATAATATTATTAATAAATGTTTTTTATTTTAAAATTAATTTTATAGTAAAAGTAATATTAACTTACTGAAGATCATTTTTTTAATATAGTTTTATAGTTTTATTAAATTTGTTTTTATTTGAAGGTTTTTAACTTATTGATGTAATAAAAATAAATTTCATTTCATTTAAATAGTTTTTTGAATCAACTCAATAAAAAAGTTGATATCAGTTGGTAAAAATAGATTTTGATTCAATAATTGATTCAAAAACTAAATGTGAAAACTATTTTTGTATCTTCACAAAATTTGGCTTACACTTATTATTTTTAAACACACACTAATTTCTTTATTTACAAAGTAATTTTTTATGTGTAAAAATATTTTTTTAGTGTGGTGGGGTTTAACAATTAATTTTACCCAACAATTAATTTTATCTGTTTTCATTATTCAATCCATCATAATAAACGAACAATTCAACTACGATATTGAAAAGATTTCAGAAATTGACATATTTTTTTAATATTATTAATCAAAGAGATGAAATTTATAGAATTTAAATATTTTCAAAAATTATAGCAATTATTTTGATTTTTAAAACTATTACTCATTGCAATACTTATTTATAATTGGTATTATTTAATTTTTAGCATATATGGAAATATTATCTATTTTAATAAAAATTATAGAAATCAATTTAAATTATAAAGAATTCAAATTATATTTTTTTATTTACTAACTGAAAATTATTTTTTGTTTTAATGAAATTGTTTTGATTTTGATTTTTTTTATTTAATCGATTAAAAAAAAAATACTCAATTAAAATGTTGAATAACACAATAAGCTAAAACTCAATTTGATTCAAAAATTGAATCAAAAAGTAGGTTAAAATGATAAATAATATTTGTGACTTCACCAGTTTAAATTCCTTAACACAAAGTAAATTCTTTATTATTAAAGTAATTTTTAAATTTAAAATTTTTTGGTGTGTAGGGGTTTAATTTTTTTTATATTTTTAATTATTTTTTTAAATTGGTTTAATTAATTATAAAAAAAAAAATTTTTATCATAACAAAAAAAAATTTATTATTATAAGAGCCAACCAAGTTTGCGCAAATTTGGAATAACAAAAAACCAACCAAATTTTTTTTCGCATTAAATTTTGATATAACAAATGTGTGGGAAAACTTGAACCGCTTTAACAATATCATTATAAAAAAAAAAAATTTCATTAAAAAAATAAATTTAAATTTATTTATTTGATTATTTATTTATTTTAAATTAATAACTTTAAACTCATGTAAAGAAACTAACTAAAGATGAGGTATTCATTAATATTGGTATTATTTTTTAGATATAAAAAAATATTATTTATTTGTTTTATTTTATTTATTCTTTAATTGATTTTGAAAAATCAAAGTTTAATTTAATTTGTTCTTTTGGAGCGACTTTAATTTCCTTTTTAGCAGCAGATTCTATATTTTGTCTAATTGATTGCTCTAATTGTTGCTTAAGTTCGATTGGTAATTTTGAAACAACCTCTTTAAAGTTTTGTTGTTGGGTGGAAGCAAAATTTAATAAAATTTGTAAACAAGCTGTATGTAGTGATGTTTGGTTTGTAGAATTTGGTTGTAAGAAAGAAATTAAACTTGAGATTACTATATAAAATAAATTAATTTCTTAAAATAAAAAAAAAAAATTAAAAAATTAATAAAAAATTAAAAACCCATTTGTATTTAATAAAATAAAATACTTACTACTAAAATCTGTTGAAAATGATAAAGATAAAATTAGAATTTTAATAATTTCATTATTTAATTCTATTTCTTCATTTTTTAATAAAATTTGATTTTTATCATTTGATACGACCGGAGATGGGAAAATTAAATTATTAAATAATTCTAATAAGAGGCTCTTTAATAATAGAGTTGAAAATTGGTATATCTGGCTATCTTGTTGTTGCTGAGAACCTGAATTTATAACATTTCTTATAATTTGAAGAATATAAACTTTATCTTTTAATTTATTTTCTTTTGATACTAGTACAGATTTAAAAAATTCGATTGAATTTTCAAACATTTCAATAGAAATCATTTCTGAATTACTTAAAACTATTGGCAATAATAATAAACAACCTTGTTTTGTTTCATTACTAAAAAAAAAAAAAAATTAATAAATTATGTTTAATAATATGGCGGAATAATAATTATAATACTTACTTATGATTTAAAATATTAATTAAATTTGAAAAAACTATTAATAAAATATTATTAAATTTACATTTGAAAGTATCGTCAAATTGATTTTTAATTTTGATTAGTTGGTTAAATAATTGAATGGATGAAGTAATTAATTGAGTATCATTTGAATAGGATAAACTTTTAATAATTGTACAAATAAAGACTGGTAAATACTTTTCATATTGTTCTTGAGTTTGAACTATATTTGACTTAATTAAAAGTAAATAAAATTGAATTAACTTATTAAAATATTGACATTTTAATTCATTAAAATCAATTTCATTACCTTCACTACTTTGTTTTGATGGTGGTGCTGATAGTTGATCTTGATACTTGCAACCTTTAAATTCTAATAAATCTATTGGTTTTAATAAAATTTTTAAAACCAAATCAAATAAATTATTATCGCTGTTATTTGGACTATCTGATTCAATTTGTTGTTTGATTTGTTTTTCTATATCTTTACCAAAATTCAAATATAAATTATTAATTATTTCTATAATTAATAGTTGTATACTATCGTTTTGGAATGAATTAATTCTTAATAAAATTTGACAAAATTCTTTAAATTTATCTTGCTTTATCATATCAAAAGTTATATTATTTGATGTTAAAACATTACTTGCTGTTGCATTTTCACCACTGTTAAATTGGAATAGAATTGATAAGGTTTCTAAGGATGTTGAAATATTAGCTTGATTAAAGTTGATATCGACTGACTCTTCTAAATATCTTTCCATTGGTAACAATAACAATCCCCAAATTAAATAAAAATCATCGAATGATTTAGTTTCACTTAAGAATTCTTTATCTTCATTGGTTAGATTTAGGTTTTGTTTCTTTAATGAAGTGGATGAGCTAATTGAAGAATCTTCATTATTTTGTCTACCGATTAACCAATAGGGTGTATGGATTAAATATGATAATGCTTTGATAATGGATGGGTAGGCGTCTCTAAAGTATTCAATACTATCTTGATAGGTTAAAGGTGAGAAAAAGATTGGTTTATAGAGTGGGTAGACTTGTGGCGAATAGTTTGATAATAATGAATACTCTTTGAGGAATGTTAACCAGTGAACTCTGAGGTAAATTAATAATGGATTGATAACATTTGATAAGATGGAATAAAGTGATTGATCTTTTAAGCATAACAAATAGAGTTGTGCAAAACATTTTAATATTGAAACCTGTACTAAAGTGGTGGTCTTTTCATTATAAATTGGGAAATTTAAATTTCTTAAATCTTTAACTTGAGTTGAAAGTAATGCTGTAGCTTTTTTAATTGCGACACTATCATAGTATACAGCACTATCAATAAAACTAACAAATACTGTACATGCATTCGATAATTGTGTTGGAAGGGCACCTGGAGCAAATGCTGGTCTTAATGCAGACATGATTTGGGCTTGATAAAGTTCTAATAATAAATGACCTTCGTAATCTGGATCAATAGATTTTGAGAATCCATCTAAAATATCTTTTAATAATAATATACCAACTGGTCTCATAGAGTCAATTTGTGAAGTAGCGGCCTTGTAGGAAATTGAAACTAAATCATGGAGATGGTAAACTAAACAGTCATTCTTATTTGGTAATTTTGATGCTAATACCATATTGAAATGCTCTGGTTTATTTTTTACGACTGATATAACTCTTCTGACACACTCTAATGCTGAAATTTTTGTAAACCAACGATGAACATATTCAATTTTCTTTTCTGATGCTTCAATAACTACCTTTTGATCCAACTCATCCTCATCCTCTTCTTGATCATTAACCTGTTCTTGTTTTTTTGATTGTTGCTGTTGTTGTTGTTGTTTAGCACCACTATTATTTAAATCATCATCTTGTTGTTTTGAAGATAAAATTATACCCATACAGATCTTTAACCAGATACTTGTTGAATTATTTGGAGCGATTGTATCGATTAATGTGAATAATAATAATTTTAATTCTTTTTGGAGTTGGTAATCTCTTTCGGTGTCCATCATCATGAAAATTGTTTCGCACAAAGGTACATTCATTTCGAAATTGGAACGTTTTTGAATTAATTGACGTAAGCATGTTACAGAGGCGACTCTAATTAAAAGATATGGACTCTTTAATTGCGAAATTAATGATGGAATTAATGTTACAGTATTAATTGTATTTGGAGCAAACATTATAAGCTTTTGATTAAAATAAATGGACTCTGCTCTAATTAATGGATCTTCACTCTTTTCAATGATATTACAAGTACTTGTACATTTGTTCATAATATCTTTACTAGTTTCTAACTCTGGACCTAATGCTACAACAATTGAATTTACGATACGACCCAATAAATAATATGGTGGATTTTCAATGATCAATAATGACTGAATTAACATTAAAGTGGGTGCTGCAAATGATGTGAAATCGAAACCACTGGTTTGAATCGTTATAAAAAGTGAGTGTAGTGCATGGTGGCTAACGTCTGTTGAGGTTAAATCTTGAGCCAATACATGTAAATTTGCGATGGTTGTTGGTAAATATTTTTGTGACATCATACCACCAACTGATCTTTGGATGCAACCAAATACAAAAGCAGAACCTGCTCTAACTGAGGTAGCGACATCTTTAGCTGGTTTACGAATAATTTCGGTTAGTGACTTTATGATTGCTGATGTAACATTATCACCTTCAATACGGCATAACAAGCCTAAGCATTCTGATGAAATACGACGAAGTAATGGATTGGTTTCACCAAAATATTTTTGAACGAATCTTTGTAATGTTGCAACAATTTCACTTTTACCAAATCTTTGATTATTATGAGACATTGATTTTAAAATAAAGAGGATTGCTGTGAGCGAATTTACAACCATAATATTTCTTTGAGGAGAGGCTACACCGACATCTTTGATGCAAGTTGAAAGATGGTCAATTAATTGAGTTCTATGACGATCTGGTTGGGATATGAATAAGCAAGAGAACAATTCAGTTGCACTATTAACAACACGTATATCTAAAAACTGGGTCATACCGTGTGAAAAACAATCATTAATTGTTGTGAATGATGCAATTGAGGAATCTTGGCTTGAAAATGGTATTTGATAGTTTAATTCAAATTGGTAAAAAGCTGAATTTAAATCTGGTAATAAAATATCCTCGTCATCATGATGCAACAATGATGGAAACATTGAATTTTGTGGACCGTCTAAAATTAATGAAGTTACAATTGTCATTAAAGTTGTATGATGCGAAGCGTATGATTGAGCTGGTAATGCTAAAAATGTTTTAATTAAATAAAACTCTAGTAACTGTGTCAATTCATTGGTTGATGGCTGGAATGATGTTGAGATGGCAGGTAACTCTGAAACTGTCTTTAAGGTATTACCCAAAAAGTTTACAATAGATGCAACTACTTTGCTATTCAATAGCTTACTATTGTATACTATAAGACTATGAAGTGGAATGAGAGCATCAGCACGAGTACGGGCAAAAATTACAATATCACGTTCGCTTGTGGGATGTACAGTACTAATATTAAAACAACTCTTCCAAAATACAAAAAGATTTGAGAGTATTGAATCTACAAAAGTGGGACCCATGAATTTGATTAATGAATTCATAATAGTCCAACCTGCTTCTAAACGTGCTAAAGTAATTGAGGGATTGAGAAAATCTGGATTTGAAAGTAATGATGATGAAATCTTTGTAATTTGGTTTAATAATGTTGCTGGTACACCCAATTCAGTAGTTTTAACGGTAGCAAGCAAAGCGGCACAACCTTGTGAATTACCTTTGAGAGAGTTCATAATACGTTTCAATGAATCTGGCTGAAGAGATAATTTATCGATTTCACCAATTAAACTATTTAAATTACCGAGACATTCGGTTAAAAACTGTGATATATTTTTTGGGAGATGAGTTGCTAAAGATCTAATGCAAATTGCAGACCACAATCTAGTGCTTTGATTACGATCACTAAACATACCAATTAATTGACTTGAAAAATCCTCGACTATATTATTTAAACCACCTTCACCCAACTCATTAATTAATAAACAACATTCTTTTAATGAGCAATATAATATTAATTCATTTAAATTATTATTATCGATTGTAACGATTGAATTTTGAAAATTTAAAACTGTAAAATTTGAATTTGATTGATTTAATTGATTTGGTTGATTTGGTTGCTGAACAGTGGCGGCAGTTTGCTGAATTTTAATACCATTTGTAGATAGGGTTAACAAGTGACGTAATAATTTTTGTTGACCTAATTCAGAAAGCTTTTCACCCAAGCCAGTTCTTAAAATATATGAGACACATGATACAAATTGAATTTGCTCATTTGTGATTTGTGGGGTTGCCAAAACAATGTTCTGAGCTTGATTTGAAAGATTTCCAATAAACTTGTTGTATGGTGTTGACAGAATTTTAAATATTGTTGAAATGATTGGCTCGATAAGAGGTTCAATATCAGTTAAATTTAATTCTCTTAAAAATTTGCTGTAAGCCATACTAATATTGGTTCTAACTTCCTTTTTGATCGCTGCTACCAATAGATTATTTAATTGATTCAAACAATTGTCAATAGACCATTTTTTAGTTAAGTTTATATTTTGTGATTGTGTATTTGGTGAATTTGGTTGAACTGGTTGCTGATTAATTGACAATGATGATGGTGTTTGTTGATTTGGTTGTGGAATTTGACCTGGTAATAATTGTTGGCTTGTTTCTTTGAAATATAATGATGAAAATGTGTTGCCTAAAACCTCCGATAACTTGTTACGAAGCTTCAAATTATCTTCATCAAGATGTTTACCAAGGAATACTATAATTTTATCGTCGAATCCCATTAATTTATTATCGGTTTGATTATAATACTTTACAATTGGTATAATTGCATTTAAACATTCACATTTGAAATCTATCAATTGGCTCATAGTAGATCCAACTGGGATGGTGGTATTTGATGGTGGATATATGGTTTTAATTAATTTAAAAGTATCGACATGAATTGATCCCCTAGTGAATCCAACCGTTTCTAAACAGCTAAAAATGCATCTCATACATGATGCTTTAAAATTAAATGTATCACTTGAAGATTTGACCATCTTTGATAATAATGTTATAATCTCTTGTATATAAACTATTGCTAAAGTTTTACTATTTTTAAATATAATTGATAATACATCCATAATTGAACTAAATTTAAAAAAAATATATAAAACATATTAATATAATTATTATTTTATTAATATATCATTATTATTTAATACTTTACATTTTTAACTGTGATGTAATTTGTTTGGCTTGTAACTGTGTTATTAAGTTTTTAACAATGGTTGTGGATGATTTGCTGCCTGTTGGAGAACGATCAAATAGTTTGCTAATAAGATTACCAATCACTAACGAGAATGCAGGACCACCAGTGCCTTGTGACAAACAGCTTACGAGCAAATTCAACCATTTTAGTGTGATTGAATCCACCTCTTGTTTATTGAGGGTGTCGAATAGGGGTACAATATTACAAACTATATCGAATTTATTTACAACATTGTTTAATTTAATACCATCATTTACTGCTTTTTGTAATGACCCAAAATACTGCTCTATTAATTCCAACTCTTTTTCATGAACTTCCCCCTGTTGTTGTATTTGTTGCTGTGATGCCTTTAATAAACTTGACATGATTTTATATAGTAAATTTTTTTTAAATTAATTTTTTATATTAAAAAATAAATAAATAAAAAAAAAAAAAAAAAAAAAAATATTTTTCGTATATTATAATAAACAATAACTAAATTATATATATAAATATACTATTAATATAAAAAAAAAAAAAAAAACTCAAATTAATTTATTTATTTAAATAAATAAATAAAAAAAGTATATTTATTTTGAAATATGAAAATAAAAAAAAAAATTTTAAAAAAAAATAAAAAAAGTAAAAAAATTAAAAAAAAAAAAAAAAAGATTTTTTTTTTATTTTTTAATTATTTTTTTTAAATTATTTTTATTTAACACATCATAACACAACAACACATGTACATTATTTATTTTTAATAAAATATCGATATATAAGGTATTTTAACATCCATTACAACTCATATATTTTAAGGTATAATACTATTATACACATAAAAGCTTAACTATGTCAGGCACACCACAAACAACCTATTCACCACTACACGATACAAATAATAGCAATAACAATAATAATAGCAACAACAACTATAGCAACACTAATAACAACAACAACCATAGTGGTTCGACTAGTCCAGCTATAGGTCAATATAATTTCCAACAAACTAGTTTTAATAATAGTGCAAATAATTTGGCAAGATCAACTTCATCAACTAATTTATCAACAACACAGCAACTAGGGGTATCATCAACTTCATTCAAATCATCTGGACCAACATTAGACTCATCATCATTTAACAGTGCATCCAACCTCCAACAACCAAACTATTCACAACAACCACCATCCTATTTCTCAAACCCAGTACATTCTAGCGCTGCCTCCCTTACTGGTGACGACAATACTTTAAAGCGTCTCATTGTATGTAAAAAAAAACCCTCCAATTTTATAAAATGATTTACTAAATTTGTTTTTTTTTATATCTATAGAAAATTGGAAATTGGAATAATGTTTTTAAAGTAGCAGATTTATGTATTGCAAGTACAAACAACCCACAAAGCATTTTACAATATAAACTATGTAGAATTATTGCACATGTTAAAATGAGATCATATAATATTGCTGATGGTGAAATTAAAGGTATTGGAGATATTAGGGATTTAATCAACTGTTATGAATCCTATCCTCATTTATTCCCTGGCAAGAGAGGCACAATGGTACCATTCTCAATGAGAATTATCAAAGCTGAATTAGCATGCCATTTAAATACCGAAAAATTCCAACTAGATTCACTTTATGGATTATTATCAATTTGTAAAAAGTAAGTTAATTATTCTATACAATATATATCCATAACACCAATACTAGTGCTTTTATACTAATTTTTTTTAATTATTATTATTTACTTAGGGAAATTTTAAATATTAATGAAATTATTAAAAATAAAAATTTAAATAATGAAAGCAGCACAGATGACTTATCAAAGAATCAAAATATTTATTTATCACAATTAGAAAATACAACATCATCACTAATATCACCAAGAAATGAAAGTATTGGTATTCAAAGCCCAATCAATAGCCAAGACCCCACCAATAACAGCAACACCAGCAATACCAATAATAGTAATAATAACACTGCAACAACACCCAATACACCATTACCAATTTCAAATTTTTCAGTCGATGAAATATTCGAAACCAACCCATCATCATTATTCGAACAACTTTTAATTTGGAAACAAAGAGAAAGACGTATTGTATTTTCAATTGTAACATTTATTATTCAAAAGAACAGAGACTTTTTATTGGCTGCAAAGATATTAGAGGATCTAATTCAAAGATATCAAGCTGATCCATATATACTTTCAGCACTTGGCAGAATTCATTTACAAATGGGAAATATCAAAGATGCTGAAAAAATATTTAATTTAATCAATCAAATCTACAATATCGATATTGCCACCAATGACACCACCAACGGAAATCATAACCTTTTGATTTTATCATATATGAATTTTGGCTTTTTGGCAGTATCTTCGGACCAATATCCTTTGGCCATCGAGTATTTTGAAAAAATATCCAAAATCGATCCGCTAAACATCCCAGCAATCAATAACAAATGTATCTCAATGCTCTATACCTGCGATTTGGGTGGCTCTATTACAGAATTAGAAAAAGTTCTTCAAAACGACCGTGAAAAATCAATTGACGAAACTTTAATCTTTAATATCTGTTCTCTTTACGAATTAGCAAGCGACAAATCAAACGAAAAGAAAAAATCGATTATGGGTGATATTGCAAAGAAAGCTCCTGATAATTTTGATTTTAAAGTATTCAAAATTTCATCAAATCCAACACTCTAAATAAAAAAATGAAAAAAAAAAAGTATAAAATATAAAATATAAAATATAACAAAACTAAAAAAAGAAATAATTAATTAATTTATATAAAATATAACTCTCCATAAACATATAACGTAACAACCACACACCACACCACACCACACTATCGCTCACGTAGCACCCAGTGAAAGTTTTGTTTTTTTATTTTTTTTATTTTTTTTTTCAAAAATTTTTAAATTAAAACATTTATTTGAAATAAAAAAGTTTATGATTTCTTTTTTTTTTTTTTTTTTTTTTTTTTTTTTTTAATTTATTTTATATTTATATTTTTATTTATTTTTTTATTTTTTTATTTTTTTATTTTTATTTCTTCATAATTTAAATCGAAAAATTAATTTTATCTTCTATCCATCACAATCATACTTTCAACACATATTCTTTCTTTTTTTTAATTATTTAAATTAATAGAATAATTCACACACATAATATTTTTTTATTTTTTTTTAATTTTTAAAAAATTTTATTTTTTTTCTTTTTTTTATTTTTTTTTTAAAAAATTTTTTTAAATTTTTTTTTTTCAATTTTTTTAATATAATTTTTTTTTCTTTATTTTTTTATTTTGCAAAATAATTTATATAATTTTTAATAACCACCAAGGTAAAATATATACATATTTTTTCTTTTTAATTTATTAATATTTTTAGGTTCAAAATACAAACCGAATATAATAAATAGAAAATTTTTTTTTTTTTTTTTTTTTTTTTTTTATAAGATTTCATATTAACTTTTTTTTTTAATTTTTATTTCACTTTTTTTTTTACCTCTATATAATATAAATCAATCAAAAATATAAACAAATAAACAGAAATGTCATTTCCATATGAATATATATTTAAATACATCATTATTGGTGATATGGGTGTAGGTAAATCATGTCTCCTTCATCAATTCACAGAAAATAAATGTAAGGTTATAACACGCATATAGCATTAAATATATTTAGTAGAATAGTAATAAATACGAATTTTTATCTAACTAACTATCTTTTCTTTCTTTTTATATATATTACAAAATTTCAAATTAAACAAATTAAACAAATTAATTAAATAAATTTAAAAAAACAAACGAATGAAAATTTTAATAAATAATTAATCAACAATACAAATAACATCAACTATGGATAATAATTTATGATAATACAATTTTATTAATATTCAGTCGTTCCTGATTCACCACACACTATTGGTGTTGAATTTGGTACTAGAATTGTCGATGTAAATAATAAAAAGATTAAATTACAAATTTGGGATACTGCTGGTCAAGAAAGATTCAGAGCAGTTACTAGATCATATTATAGAGGTGCTGCAGGTGCTTTATTAGTGTATGATATTACAAGAAGAATCACTTATAACCACTTAACCACTTGGCTAACCGACGCTAGAAATCTTACCAACCCAAATACAGTTATCATGTTAATCGGTAATAAAAAAGATCTTGATGGCCAAAGAGATGTTACTTTTGAAGAAGCTTCTGCATTTGCTAAACAAAATGGTTTAATTTTTGTCGAATCTAGTGCTAAAACGTAAGTAACTTTATATTACATAGATTTTGTTTTTTAACTAGTTTATTAACAAACACTTAATAATTTATATAGTGGTGAAAATGTTGAAGAAGCTTTCTTAAAAACTGCTAAATTAATTTTCCAAAGTGTCCAAGAAGGAAAGTAAGTATTGCATAGATTTGAATATTAGTATTTTTTTTTTTTTTTTTAATTTAATTCTAATCTTTTGTTTAATTTTTTAGTGTTGATTTAATCCCAGATGGTGGTGTTACTAAGAGTAATGCAACTAATAATACTGCTAATCCTAACCAAGGTGCCGCTGGTCAAAGCCAAAGTAATTGCTCTTGCTAAAAAAAAACTTTAAATTACACTAATCAAATATTTATATACTTTTAAAAACACAACACTCAAACAAACACAAACTCAAACAAACTAACCAATTCTAAATATTAAATTTTTAAAATCAAAATTTTTTTTTTTTTTCACATTTATAAAATTATCACTTTAAAAGAAAACTTTACCATCTATATTATACATAAAATATAAAATACAAAATATTATAATACTCATGCTATTATTAAATAAATCTTTTTTTTAAAAAAATTAAAAAATAAAAAATACAAATAAAAAATACAAATAAAAAAAAAAAGATAGATTTTAGCGCTGTTGCATTTTTAATAAAAAAACGATATACATATTTCCATTTATATTCACATTTATTAATTGTTTTGTATTTTTTTTTTTTTTTTTTTTGTAAAAAATGTTTCGATCAAATTCATTATTATAAATCATTGATTTTATGCCCAAAGCTATGAATAAATGTAAAAACTATAATCTTTTTTTTTTTTTTTTTTAATTTTTTCAAAAAAACATTAAATTTTTTATATTTTTTTTGATTTTTTTTTTTTTTATCTTTTTTTTTTTTTTTTTGTATATATAAAGAAATTCATAAATAAAATAAATTTATAGTATTTTATTCATAATAAATAATAAATAGTAAAAAATATGATATGTCAAATTTAAATACTCTATTATTTTTTAAAATTTGGAGAAATATACCCTTAAAGAAGAAAATATACTCATATCTAATAAACGAATTAAAATACCAAGGTTTATTTATCGACGAAATTGTATCCGTAGAATGGATGTGCAAACATGGGCATTTAGATTTATTAAAAAAGAAGGTTTTAAATAAAGAGTATTTGGTATTTGAAACAAATCAGTTTAAATCGGATGAAAATGAACAGAATATTCAACAAATTGGTCAAAATAATGGTGCTAATCAAATTAACGATATAAATGAAGAAGATGTTTATATGGCTACAAATTTGGTTATTAATAGTAATAATAACAATAAAAATAAAAACTACAACAAATATATAATTTTCAAATTAATAAATAATGATTTAAAATTTTATAAAAAATTATTTAAATGTTACTTCAAAATATTCATCTCGAGTAAAGAGGAACTTAAAGAAACATTAAAACATATTATCAAATTTGATTGCATTGGCGCCCTAAAAATATTAAAAAAAAAATGCTCTTTAAAATTTAAAGAAAAACATTTTATAGAATCAATTATCAATGAATCTTTTACAGTCAGCGAATATATATACAATAAGCTATTAATAAAACCGAACCAACAACAAGTGTTTTTAAAAACCATTCATCAAAGAAGAGTAGATCTAATCAAATCGGAATCTATCGATAAGAGAACATTGTTTTTGGTTAAGGTTTTAAATTTCAAGGTCCCGGCTGAATTAGACAATTTGCAGTATTTGCACAACTCAAATCTATTAGAGTGCACATTAAGAGAGATATACAATTCATGTATCACACTGGCATTACTCAAGAGACCGTTGGCCTATTATGTAAAGCATTTAAAAGACTACCTACAGTCTCAAGATAATTGGGATTTTGATGTAATGTATCCGAGCGAAATTACAAGACTCTTCTTTCTGCAGGACTACACTTGGCTAACGATCGAGTATTTAGAAGGTATCCCATTTACTCAAGAGCAGCTCGATACTAAACTAATGAACTTTGATTTAAAAAGTGCAAAGAGACTTCAAGACTTGGAATCAATACTAAGAATGGTTATTCCCTTTATCGATATTTTAAACAGTACTAAATACATGGTCGGCTTCATATACTACAACTTTGTATTTAAAGATTCAAAATTAATTCAAAACATATTATTCAGCTCAGTATTTGATGATTTCTTATCATTTTTTCAACGATCAGACATGTTCTCAATCAAAGTAAAAATACGATACACCAAATATTTATCAGAGCTTATCAATTATGGCTCTGAAAACTCCACAATCTATAGGAGATATCAAAGAAGGGTCTTATCCTATCTAATCAGTATCAACGACACCCAGGCCATAAAGAAAGCATTAGAAGCCATGCATAGCTGCGACACCAAATTCACCAATCAAGTTTTTGTAGATATAAAGGAAGATACCTCACTATTCGATTTTTGTTTCACACAAATATCCAAAGAAAGTTTTAATTTTGGACACTTATTATCAAAGACCAATTTAACTATTTTAAACCACTACAAAAATAATTATTACGATGATTTTAAAAAAAGGGTTCAACAGCTAGATCTTTCAACAATTCAAAAGCCATATAAAGACCATTTGGTTTTATTTTTTTATGAAAATTTAACAGAGTTCTGTACACATTTTAACTATATTGGTCAAATTTGGAAACCTTTTGATCAGAATCCGAACCTATTAGAAATAACATATCAAGAATTCAAATATTTTATAACTCACATGGAAGAAAACAATTTAAATAATTATTTAAATATATTTTTTAAAACACCTTCCCATCCAAATCCACAAAATAATTTTAATAATTTAGAAAAATTTTTATATTTCAAATATCAATCATACAACATTTTAAATTTTATTTTAAATTCAAAAAATATAATTCAAGATAATCAAGATGATGCATTTGAAATTAGAGATTATAATAATCCATCTTTATTTATTAAAAACTGTAAATTAACACTATTTGAAATAGGAAGAAGAGGCGACACAAATACTTTAAACTGTATAATGACCAGTTGTTTTCCGACCGAATTTTCAAACCTAAAATATAAAAATCGAATTTATGAATTACTATTGTTTTCATCTTATTTTGGGCAAATCCAAATTTTTAAATTTTTGCATAATAATTATCCCTGGGTATTCCATTATTACAAAGATATCAAAAAAATTCATAATACAGTCGTTCAATCCTACCCGAATTTTGAAGATAATCCAAATAATCAGATTAAATTATCAGATTTAAATATTTTACTAAATTATTCAAAAATTAATATTAATTTATTCAATTATTTGAATAAAATTATTAAAATTATTAATTAGAACAAAATTTTGTTCAAACAAAACTATTTTAATATTTTTTTTTAGACTTTATTTAAATTTTCTTTTTTTTTTTTTCGGCAGTAGTCTGAATATATCTCAATCTTTGACGAAATAAATTGATTTAAATTATATTATGATTGTCCAAATATTGAATTAATTTTTTATATGGGTTTTTTCGTAATTGAAATTTCTAAAAAAAAACAATGTGCCAAACCAGACAAAATATATTTAATTAAATTTATAAAAATCTTTTTTTTTTTTTTTTTTTTTTTCGACCTGTTGTAAGATTTTTTTTAATTTTTTTTTATTTTAATTTTTTTTTTTTTTTTGCATTCACCAAAAATTTTCACGACCCTTTTTTTTATAATTATCTTTTTTTCTTATCATTTTTTTTTCTTTTTTTAAAAAATAAATAGATTTAATAAAAAAAGTAAAAATTTAAAAAAACAAACCTTCAATTTTTTTCATAAATTTTCAATTTTTTACATCATCACCACACATATAAACTTTTTTTATATATTAATTTATTTTAAAATAAATTTTATGTTGTGTTAAAGAAACCCCTCAAAACAATTTTTTTTTTATTGTTTATTTATAATAATTAATGTATATTAGTAAATAAAGAAAAAAGAATGAAAATCAAATTTTTATTTTTATTATTTTTAATAATAATAAATAATATATATATTACTTTTGGATTCAACAACAATTATGACCAATTAAATAGTTTCGATCAAAGTAGTAGTGAGAGTAGTTCAGGCACCAACTCAGAAGGTTGTTATGGTGTACCAAATCCACATACAGTTTACACACAAAAAGAAAGACTTGTAGCATCAGTTAGTAACGGTGTATTATATCAAACAGGTCCAAACACAAATCAATTATATATTTTACATTTATATGGAACACCATTTGAAATGGGTGAAGCCCATGGTCAATTATTGAAGGCTCAAATTCAAGATTTACTGCCATCATTTATGGAGTTTGCTCAAGTAGCCGTAAAGCAATTTATCAAAAGCAAATTTGCAGAAAGATTACCAGCTTTCTTAATTTATATTATTGAAACCTTTGGTGTTAATGCTGCTTTGGATTATGTTTCTTCAGCTACCAAACCATATACTCCACAATCATTCTTTGATGAATTAAAAGGTATATCATATGGCGCTGAGGTTGATTATACAACTTTATTAAGAATTCATTCATTTGCAGAGTTATTAAAAGCAACTTGCAGTATAGGTAAATATTAATATACACATAATTTCAAACAATAAGTAGTTCACATTATTAATCATTACTATTTTATTATAAGTTGGTGCATGGGGCGACGCAACTTTAGATGGTCGTTTACTTCAAGTTAGAGCATTAGATTGGGGTATTGAAAACCCATTAGTTAATCATCCAGTACTTATTGTTTATCATCCAGAAACAGGTAACGGTGGACCATTTAGTATTTTAACTTGGGTGTCATATGTTGGAGCACTTACAGGTTACAGTCAACGTACTGGTGTTTGTGAAAAAGTTTGGTTAACATATAATGGCACTTACACACACGACGGCATTCCATTCACTTTAATGTTAAAAGAAATTTTACAATATGATAATAACAATATCGAAGCATTAAATCGTATTTACAATACACCAAAAACCTGCGCAATCTATGTTGGAGTTGGTTCAAACGAAAGTGCAACAGTAGATATCATAGAGTACTCTTCAAGCACAGTTAGGGTTTTCGATGACGAAACCCCATTCCCCGGTTTTGATCCATCACCACCAGATCACCCAATTATTAAAAATATAGTTTATGTAGATCGTCACTCCCAACCTTCAAATGATCCATGTTTAGCAAATGAATTAATTTCAACTTATGGTTCAATTTCTGCAGCAACTCTAATTGATACAGTTGGTAAAGAGGAAACTGGTGATCTCCACGCTGCAGTCTATGATTTTAGCGAAAATGTAATTTATGTTTCAATTGCTTCCACAAACATTCCTTTCCCATTCCCAAACAAAACCATGCCTTCACCAGCTTACAAAAATCAATTTATGAAGTTGGATATGAATACTTTATTTAATCTTCCAAATCCAACCAATAACAAATAAAAAAAAAAAACAATAATTTAATATTCAATTTTAATTGAATTGAATTTAAAATTTTTTTAATAACAAATATAAAATTTATTTAAACAATAAAATTTATTTAAAACTCCATAGTTTTATTTAAATTAATTTATTTATTTGTTTTGTTTGTATATTTGTATGTTTGTTTATTTATTTATTTAAATCGCCCATTTTTAATTTCATATTTGAAATAAATAATTTTTGTTTTTTTGTTTTTTGTATGTGATATACAATGCATATAATCACAATTGCTACAAAAGCTATAGAACCAATAATGATACCGGCAATTTTAGCAGCAGATAAACCATTGCTTTTCTTTGAACAAATAGAGTTTTGAGAATCTTTTGAAGCGGATGAAGAGTCTAATAAAACAGAGAAATCTGGGTCAATTGAGACGTGATCAGAAAAGTAGCTCATTGATATGGCTATTAATGAGTTTTTTGAATGTTGGTTACTTGGTCTTTCGCTATCTATTGGTCTACTTGAAATGGTTTTAATTGAAATGTAATCATAAATAGCTCTTTTTATAAATCTACCATATAATGATTTATTATCCACTTGAATTTTTAAATGGAGTTATCCCCATTTGTTGTATTACCAAAATCTGATGATGAGCAAATATCATTTGTTTTTGATGACTCAAAGGATGCTGACATTATTAATTCCAATGAGTTTAATCTTGATTTAAACTGATATTTATCAATATCGATAGTATATTTTATTGTTGAAGGGTTCATATGAATGATTTGATTTGCAAAAGTTACATTACTTTCATTTTCATACCAAACAAGTTTTGCTTTAATATTTGAATTATCAGATATGTCGTTTTGATAGAGATGACTTTCATTTGATAGCTTTGTGTAGTTCCATTTGTCAAATTTTTTTTCAAAAACAATTTTACCAGTGATATCTATTTCTCTAAGTGATACTATTGACACAATTGATTTATATATTACGTTTTTATCATTATGAGATATATTTGCCATTGGTTCGTTGACATCGATATCTATATCAGGAATTATTATTGTTTGGGATAAACAATCTTTGCCGATCCATGGTGAATAGCACACACAACCAGTACTGGAGCAATAACCGTTTGATGGTCCTCCACATTTTGGTTTTCCTTCACATACTTGGTCAGGATTAATTTCATAGTCGGGGGTATTATCTATATCATTACCAATAATGATTTCATAGTCATCTTGGTATACTTGGGTGGAGCTATTTTCTTGAAATGTAAATTCAATAAAGAATCTTGATAACCCATTTGGCAAGTTTCTTAATTTTAATGCACTTTTAAAGTTTTTATCGATTTCAACTTTAACTTTGGTTTTGTTTGGCAAAACTAAAGATACTTGATCTACTTTGCTAAAACCTCTTCCATATATCCAAATCTCTTTATCTTGTTTTAAAATTCTATTGGTACCTGCAATGGATGGATAATTTAAAGACATTATAATTTCAGTTCGATCGATTTTATATTTGAATCCTGCTTTATTTAAATCGTCTGTGGTAAAACCTGAATACAACCCACCATTATTTGTTATGGTATAAAGTTGGAATACCATTCCAAACGGATAACCATAACCAATAGGTAGTTGACATTTATAATTAAACTGGGCTGTAAATTGGTCGATTTCATCAATAGAAGTAATGTTTTTACATTCATATATGTTGAGATTCGTTGTGGCAACGTAAATAATTGGAAATTGGCCTTTCTTCAAACCGGAATCTTTATCTTGTGCTATAACTTTAAATTCTAAAAATCTATTATGGGACCCAACGTCAATAGGATTTGTTTCATTTGGAGCATTTACTATTTCAAAGAGTAATAAATTTGGGTTAGAAAGGTCTTCTATTGGTGTTGGACAAAAGAAATAAACACTCAAAAGGTAAGGATTATTTAAATAGTTTATAAAGGGGTTTGATAGTCCATTTGCGGATGAGGTACCACCACTAAAGGTAATTCTGGAGAATGTAGAGTTGAAACCTTGCTCATCAAACAACTTTACTTCTATTAAATCAAATTGTGCACCAACACAATTTTCTGTTGAGAGTTTAACTTTGATAGCATAAGATCCATTATATTTGGTGCCACTAATAGCATCTTTTGGTGTTAATGTAAAGTTGTATAACGATCCATCATCAATATTTCTAAGGGTAATATAACCTTCTTTAAATCCATTATATTCATCTATAATATTAAAAGTGTATCCCAAAGAATATTCATTTTCTTCTAATTCTTGCTTTTGTTTAAAATTATTAAAACCAATGTCCAAAGGTGGTTCAAGAGGGAATTTGCTTAAATTTTCAAAAATAGGACCATATAAATCTAAATCTAAAAATAGAGAAATAAAAGAAAATGTTAAAATTTGGTTTTTAAAACTATTATTTGAATATATATTTTAATAATAATACTTTTTGAAATAACCCTAAGCTGAGAGTCATTAGATAAAGAATTACTTGGGACATAGTTGTTGCAATCAAAAAATAAACCATATGGAATTTTGCCAGGTAATGAATTTACATAAAACTCTATCTGGAATAGTTCTAAACTGGAGTTCCATCTTGAATACCACAGCTTATCAGTTGGATAATCGTTAAAGTTTAGTTTGGATGATGCAAATTTATTAACTGGATCGAAAAGTACTAGGGCAATAGGTGTCTCGATATTTATATTTGTATAGTTGAAGTATAGTATATTACCTACGGTTCTATTGGTAACATCAATTTCATAATATAACATTTTTGAAAAAGTTATATTAAAGATATCAAAATCTAAAAAAAAAAAAAAATTAATATTTAATTATTTATTGGAATTAAAATTTTTATATAAATTACCATCATCAATAAACTTTGGATTTGAAAAGTATTTTAAAGGATTAATACTATAGTAATATGGCTCCATAAGAATAAGCTCACGGCTATGGTAAGCGAGGATCTCTGTAATGGGGTTAAATAGGTCTACATGGAAATCAAATGTTGGCTCTTCCAAAGTTCCATTCAATAGTCCAACTGGGTAATAATATTTCTCGTCGATTAGGAGCTTAAAAATTTCGTATTTTGATTTTAGTTTAATTCTTAATATATAGTTGTGATCAAACAAATGAATAAATTCTATATCTTCAAAAGTTGGCGCGCTAAGATCTATTGGAATAATATTAATTAGTTTTTTTTTTTTTTTTTTTAAATATTAATATTAATTTACCATATTCTATAGATTCGACCTCTATTTTGAAACCTTCTGTAAATTTTGTGCCGTTATAGCCTGATACAATAAATTTTCCTTCTTGATATGCTAAATAAAAAACTATTAGAAATAGAATTTTTTTTTTTTAAAAATATAAATATTTACATATTGGTTCTGTAAAGAATGAAAATTTAACAATTCCACGTTTATCACTTAATGAATGGCCAAATGGGAATGTAGATTCGTAGGTATTATAATACTCTATATTGAATGGCCCCAAAATACTGGTTTGGGTTAAAAAGAAGGAGACAGTAAAATAATTATCTTTCGAAATTTCTTGAGTGAAATTATATTTATCTCCCATATCGTTAAAAGATTTATCTTTATAAAATAAAGAGTATAGTTAATATAAGTTTAGAAATAAATAGAATACTATTATCTTATAGCTACCTTCAACATGAATTAAAGAATTTAAAATATATTTATATCCGGGTCCATCTTGGGCTCCTATGTTGTAATTTGTTTCATAAAGGTAATCAATATTACCAATATATTTGGTTACACCGTCTTTGCTTGAAATGGGTCTATAATAAAAATCACTTGAAAGTATACCCTCATCACTATATTGAAAATAAAATGGTAAGGTATATTGATTATTTATTGACTTGAATGAAAACAATGGCCCATAACCAACTGAAAGTTTTGCCAGAACATCATAACCTAATGCTGGATATCGTTGAGCCTCTATGATATTATCAGTTACTATATGCAAATATAAAAAAAAAAGTTAATAAAAAAAATAAAAAAAATAATTAAAATTTCAAATTATATTTACCGCTTAAATTAAAATAAGGCTCTGGTCTGAAAAATACTTCTTTCTCCCCTCCATTTGGATGTATTGAAATATAGGGTGTGTAGTTATACCCCAAATTTAATTCTGTCATCAGAAATATAATTTTATTGTAATTGTTAGGTAAACCAAATAAAAAACATTCAAAGCAATTGGAATTTATCCTATGAACCTGAGACTTTACATTTTCAAATCGAAAATATGCAGATATATCCCCAAAAACATCCAGCTCTAAACCACGAGGTGAATAAGATTTTAACTCTAAACTATCTGGAATTACTTTGGTAAATTAAAATTTTATTTTGTTAGTTTATTATTTTTTTATTTTATTTTATTTTAATTTTATTTATATTCTATACTTACTTGAGCATTCATAGTTGATAAAATATTCTATATTTTCTGGAGTAGTTGCATAAAGTTTTCTGAAAACAGGTAATTCTGAATAATATGCAATAATACTATGATTATAGACACCTATTGGAATTTGATTAATAGTTACTTCATATAAACTTGCTGTAGTATTTGAAATAAGTAAAATTGGTGACCAAAAATAAGAATCGAATGATTGATTATTATTTGATATGTGCAGTTCAACTGAATCTGGTATCTCTGGGTCTCCAACCAGAAATATAAATGTAAACGAGCAAGTATTCACATACCCATCATATTTGAAATATTCTCTTTTATTTGGTGTTACATCTTGAATATATAGTTTTGATTCTATCAAATTTACATAAAAAAAAATAAATAAAAAAGAAATAAATAAAAAATAATTTTTATTTCCCATTTCCAAAAAAAAAACAATTGTAAATATCAAAAAAAAAAATAAAAAAAATATCAAAATAAAAAAAAAAAAATTTGCATAAAAAAAAAAAATCAAAAAAAAAATCAAAAAAAAAAATCATCATTAAATTAAACCAATGGAATTTTTTTCATGATGCCAGGCACGAATCGTTGAAATTTTCCGAATTAAAATTTTTTTATACATACTACAGTAATTTATTTTTTAATTAAATAAACTTAGTATTTAATAATTTTATTTATAAATTATTAAATACTTTGGAATGACTTGATCAACTGAATAAACAACTACTTCATCATAATTCAAATCTTCTCCATTTTCACCAAGTACCGAGTCGAAACCAGGTGATGGGCTTGTTAAGCTTTTATTATTGGTTTTTAGTTTTTTACCCCTCCCAATTAAAACATTATTAAGGAACATGTATTTGTATTCATTGTTGTTAACTGATTTACAGTAGTCATTGCTCTTGGAAGAAGTAGCAGATAAGTATACACCTGCACCAAATCTTTGGAAAGTACGGTTTGTAAGGGGTGGTAGTCTATAGCTTTCGTTTATAATTCGGCAAACATAGCATGAAGTGGAGTCACAGGTGGTAATATTTCCATCTAATCCTAAAAAGCAGTTGATTTTAGTCCCATGAAATCTCCTATTTTCATTACCAGGTGTCATAAATTCCCCTAGATGATTTGTTTTTGATGAAAAATTACCAGATTCTTCTAATAATTTTCTTTTTTCTTCAAAGTTTGTTTTGATAATAAGAGGATTATTTATTTTCAAAATTTTATGTATATTAGGGAATGGGTGGCGATTATCTTTATGATTCCATTTATGAAAAAATTGGTTTTTGACGGATTGATATTTTTTATCATTTTCTTTTAGTTCGGAAACTAGACCTGTACTATATGAATTATAGTGGACTTCAGAACAAAATTCAGTACCAAACTCTACAAATTCTTGACAGTCTTTTATAACGCACAATGGTTTTGTGAAAAATATATCAAAAAAATTTTTTATTGAATAAATAATTTTTAAAATAATTGATATTTTACCTAGATTATAAAGATAACCATGGTAAGCTCTACAAAATTGATAGGCACTATGCCTTTTCCTGTTACACCCTGGATAAATACAAATATTGGATAAATTCATTTTAAAAATTATTTACAGATATAAATGTAAAAAGATAATAATACAACACAATTTTAAAAATAAAAAAAATTTTTAAAACTATTAATAATTTTTAATATATGATACTTATGATTTTTTTAAAACTTAAAAAATATAAAAAAATGATTGTGATAAAGTATTTTGAAAAAAAAAAAGAAAAAGTAATACTTATAAAAAAAAAAATTATGCCTAAGTTTATTTTTTAATTTTTTTAATTTTTTATAATTTTTTTCAATTTAGATATAATAAATGTTTATGTTGATTGTGTAAATCAAAATTTCAAAAGAGTATCAGCAACGAATCGCCATTGTTTTAATGTTTTAATTTTATAATTTTATTTTATTCGGTTTTATCTTGAGCGTCGTCTTTTAAAAAAGTACTTAAATATTCTACAGCGATTTTATCGGAAAAAGATAAATGATCTTCGTAAGAGATGAATCCTAAATGTGCTCCCCATCTTGTGGTGGCTAAAATTGTATTTGGGTTTGATTTGAATTTGTCCCATGGGAAACCGGCGACTGGTGCGATTGGATCGTCGATGGCATTAATGAAAAGAATTGGTTTTTCGAGCTTATCAATGGATTGTGATGATGATGCAGCGAGATAATATTGTTCAGCAGTTTCGAAACCAAACATTTTACTTGTAACAAGATTATCGAAATCCATAATGGTTTGACATGCACCAATTTGTTCTTTAGTTCCATATTTTTCTAAACGATCGCCAAACTTGAAGGCTAAACGCTTCAAATTATTGGCTAAACCTTTGTTATAGATTAAATTATTTATGTAGGTTGAACTGAGATTTTTGGTACATTCGATCATATTCATTGGATTTGAAATTGAAACATGTGCAAGATATGGTGAGTTTTTACCGGCTGCTGCTAAATAGTTTACAAGAATTGCTGAACCTAAACTGAAACCAACTAAAAACCATTTTTTAACTGATGGTAATTGTTGTTGAACATATTCTGTAATGTATTTGATATCATCTAATTGAACTGCACTATAAAGTTTTTCAGCTGTTACTTTATTGCCTGCACAACCTCTATAATTGAATACGACACATCTAAATCCTTTTTCTTTATATGCTTTTCTAGCAAAATATTGAATATAACGTTCATGTGATCCACCTGTTAAACCATGACAAATTACAATTGTTGGGGTGTCTTCTTTAAATTCTCCTAATTCGAACCAATCTAAAGAAATGGTTCCATTATCTGCTGGATTTATTAATGATTCACTATTTAAAATAAAAATAAAAATTATAATAATTTTTTTTTAAAAAAAAAAAAAAAAAAAAAAAAAAAGATATTTTAAAAAAAAAAAAAAACAATTAGAAAAATGTTAAAACATAATTAATAAAAAATGATTGTAAATATAATTTACATACCGACGAATTGGTAAATTTAATTTTGGGATTTTAAAAGAACCATAATAATTCATAACATGTGAATTGTAAAGGTAATATGGTGGATAATAGGTAACACCATTTCTAATGGTTGGTTCTGATCCCTCTATATTATTAATTCTGTCATTATCAGTTACCTTGGCATTATATTCTTGGTAAAGTGATGGACATTGCTCTAAAATTTTAAGATTTTCTTCATTTGAGCTATCAAAATATAATTTAACTTCAGCTTTATCTCTTGATGAAAACATATTTATTTATTTTGTTATATATTGGATAGTTTTTATTTTTATTTTTTTATAGTTTTTATTTTTATTGTTGCTAATTTAAATTTTTAATAATACAATTAAATATTACTACTATTATTCTATATATTTTATTTTATATGAAATAAATATAAATACAAATACAAATAAAATTATTATTATTATTATTATTTGAATAAATTTAATAAAATAGAAAATAAAAAACAATTAATACTTTAGAGATTTAATCTTTTTTTTTTTTAAAATAATAAAATAAAAATAAAAATAAATTAAAAAAAAAAAAAAAAAATTAATTTTATTCGTTTTTTTTTTTTTTTTAATTTTTTTTTAATTTTTTTTTATAAAAGCGATATGAATAATACTTTTTTGGAAGTCGTGACATTATTTTTGTTTTAAAATAGAAATCTATTTTTTTTAATTTATTTTACTGGATAGTAATGTTGTATTGTATTTTCACAATTGGTGTTTAATGATGATTTTTTTTTTTTATACACACACAAAAATAAATGGTTTTTTTTTATTTTTAATTTTTTTTTTTTGAATGAGAAATTCATTTTTCCCAACAACACCCTATTCAAAAAAACAATACCAAATTATTATTATAATAACAAAGTTTTTGATAATAAATTGTTTTATTTTTATTATTTTTATTATATTTATTATTAGTTTTTATTTTAATACCAATTTATTACTATTAATGTTACCACTTAATTCATGTTCATTATCTCTAAATCGGTAAAAATTATCACTATGTTTACTAATTCTAAATATCTTTCTAATTGTTTTGTTTGATCTAATTATTTCTAAGGTTTGATTTGGAACTAAAATTGTAAATAATATTAAAATTTCGAAACCAATAAATCTTAAAAAGAACAATACGGAAAATTCTAATTCGAATGGGATGGTTTCCAAATTACACAATCTGTTATCTGACTTCTCTATTAAACAGTCAATATACTTGCCCATCTTTTCATTGTATTGGTCCATATTCAAACTGATGGTACCACAAAATCCCAATAATAGCAAGAATTGAATCCATATAAATATTATCGACAAATATTGCTTTACTAAAATTGAAACCAAACCTTTTCTTTCATTCACTTTTTGTTCTTTTGAAATCTAAAATAAATAAAATGAAATGTTTAGTTAGTATTATTATAATATTATTAATATTTTAATTAGTTTTTAATTACTCTGTAGATGTAGATGGCAATAAATATTATAAAAATACTTCCTAGAGATAGAAAAATAATGTATGGTATCCAAAAGAAAAACATAGTGTCTATTTCATCTAAAATCCAACAGGTTATACCCGATACATAATAGCCATAACCATATCTTGCAAATGGTATAAAGGTTAGAAATATTGAAATTACTTGAATAGCAATTGCATTGTATTTTTCAATATTGGCGCTACAACCTATTTTTTTTGATCTAAGAAATAAATCTAAAACTAATGAAAACCACCAGAAAATAGCACTTAAACTTCCATATTGAAACAATACACCAGTTATACCACAGCCAATGTCACTTTGTCTTGCATATTTGTGTTTTGATGGGCTATTTATAAAAAAAAAAAAAAAAAAAAAAAAAAAAAATTAGTATTATATAAATTAATAAAATAATAGAAATAATATTTACCATATTAATTTTTCCCCTACAGCAAAATAAAAAACTATTTATAAAATTTTAAAATTAAAAGCTTTTTAAATAAAGTGAAAAATAGAGAATAATATTTACCATCAGTCAAAGTAAAACAAAAAATACCAAGTGCTAAAAACATTTTGGAAAGGGTTTGCTTATTAAATGGGGGCTTATTTAAAATAGGGGAGGAAACTTTTAAAATAATAGCAGATGATACAAAGCAAATGGTACCCGATATTTTTGAAAGATAGGATAGCTTGGATAGGTGCTCTTCTTTATAAATTGGACCTGGACATGGTAACAGACAATTGGTTTCGTTTTTACTTCCACTCGCATATACATATCCATGTGTATAGTCGACATTATGGAAATCTTCAGACTCCACATACAGTCCTCCCTTTTCCCTATATTTTAAAGGATAGGGGCAGTTTTCACCAGATACCAAAGCTATATTTATAATTACTATAACAAATATTAAAATAACAATTTTTAACATTTTTTTTTTATTTGTAATAAACAGTAAATAAAAAATAAAAATTGTATTACAATACAATAAATTTTAAAGATAAAAACTTTGGTTAATTTAAATTTAAAATTTTTTTTTTTTTTCATTTTATTTTTATTTTTATTTATTTTAATTCAGCAAGTTTAAAAAACTTTCTCACATGAGTGTTAACATTTGGTTTATCTTATATAGAATTTCTTTATGGCTTGGGGTTAACTTCGATTGAAAATATATTTTATTATAATTTTAAGAAGATATAAATAGGTGTGTGTTGAAAATTTAAAATTAAAATTAAAATTTTTTTTTTTTTAATTTTTTTTCATTTTTTCCTCATTTTTTTTTTAAATTGTTTCAATTTTTTTTAACACTTTTGGTTGTTGTTTGTGATAATTAAATCTATTTTTAAGTTGTGTGTTTGTATGTTTTTTTTGTGGGTTTAAATAAAAAATAAATATTTAATTGTATATAGATTACTTGTGTGTTTGTATGTGTGTTTGTGTGTGGGTGTGTTGTTAACCATTACTTTTTCATTTTTTATTTATTTTCATTAGAATAGTATTATTAATAATAATAATAATAATAATAATAATAATAATAATAATAATAATAATAATAATATGGTTCATTTGCTTATTATTGGTGGTGGGATTGCAGGGTTAACTTGTGCAGAATCATACAGTTATTTAAAACCAAATGATAAAGTAACAATTTTATCATGCTCACCAATTTTAAAGGTTTGTTGACCTTTTTAAATGGTTATAATAATAATAATAAAATAATAATAATAAATACTAATATTCTATTTTTACCTTATGTTTAGACAGTTTGTAATGTTCAAAAAATTAGTAAAGTTTTAGAATCATTTGATGTATTTGAATCTAAATTTACCGATGTGGAATTTAATAGTCCAAATATCAATGTTGTTGTATGTGATGTTGATTCCGTTGATGTAGAGAATAAAATAGTAAAAACAGATAAGGGTGGATTCTCTTTTGACTATTTATCAATTTGCTCAGGAGCAAAACCAAATGTAAAGTAGTGTCAATTAAAATATTGTATACTGATCATAAGATTATAGAGTCCATTATTAATTTTTTATAAAAAAATAGGTAATTAAATCATCAAATAATTTTATAGGAATAAGAGATACAGATTCAATTTTAGATTTAAAGGATAGATTAGAAAATTCAAAAAGAATATTAATAGTGGGTAATGGCGGTATAGCATTGGAGTTAGTGCATGAAATTAAAGGTTGTGAAATTGTATGGTCAATCAAAGATAAACATATTGGTAATGCATTTTTCGATAAAGACGCATCCAACTTTCTATTTAAATCAAAACAAGAACAAAAAGAAAAGCAAGATAGTAATGATAATGACAGCGAAATCATGATCAAGGAAAACAATAACACAGGAACTATTTCAAACTCATCAGTTTATAAAAATGAAAGTGGCTCAGCATTGGGGCCCCAATGGTACAGTAAATATAATTTTAACCAAAATCAAATGGTCGATAGCGTAAACGCCAATTTAAATATCGAGTACGAAACAATAGTGACAGAAATATACGATAACGACGACAGTAAAGAATCAAATAATTTTATAAATCAACAAAACTTTAAAAACGAAAGCGAAAAGAAATGGCCAATTTATGCAAAGTTAAATAATGGTAATGTGTATGGATGTGATTTTATTATATCGGCAACTGGTGTAATACCAAACTCCAATGTATTATTAAAGAATAGAAAACCGAGCGAGCATGTTGCCCTATCAAAAGAGAATGCTTTGGTGGTCAGCGAGCAAATGGAAACCTCAATTAAAGATATCTATGCAGCAGGTGATGTATGTAGTGTCGAATGGAATGACTCAAAGGTGTGGTTCCAAATGAGATTATGGAGTCAAGCACGTATTATGGGCCGATATGCAGCCCAATGTATAGCGAAACAATCCGTCAAAGGTACCAAGGATGAAGATAACCTGGAAGAGATTTGCACAAGTTTTGAATTTGAATTGTTTGCACATGCAACTAAATTTTTTGGTTTCAAAGTAATAATGCTAGGATTATACAATGGTCAAGGTTTAGATTTGTCAAATCAAGAACAATATCAAATCTATACAAGAGAGATTTTGGGTGAACAATATGTCAAAGTGATTTTAGAAAATGGTAAACTAATTGGTTCGTTATTAATTGGCAATACAGATTTAGAGGTAATAATATATACATATATTAAAACTATTGTAAATCCAAATATTAATTTAATTTTAACTTTTTTCAAAATATAAATAAATAAATAAATCTTTAGGAAACTTTCGAAAACTTAATTTTAAATCATATTGATTTATCAAGATATGGACCAGAAATTTTAAACCCAGAAATCGATATTGAAGATTATTTTGATTAAAAAATATATATGAAACAAAATAAATAGTTTTTTTTTTTTAAAATACAGAGTTTATTATACTAAATGTTTTTCGTTTTTTCATTTCTTTATCAAAGACTAGATTAAATAAATTTAATAAATAATTAGTATTGGTTTTATAATAATTACAAATTTATATAAATTATTCTGTACTTACAATAACTATTAATTCTACATTGGAATTTCAATCTTTGTTGATTTAAAAATCCCAACATAAACAATAACTCCATTGTTATAAATAATGGGGCAACAAACATTGCAAGTGGTTCTGATGGTAATCCTGGTGTGATACCTTCAAATATTAAATGTCCTATGATTAGCAATACCAAGGATATACCTAATAATGAAATACCATCTGTGGTTGCTTTTTCTAAACCCAAGTTATCAATCTTGCTATTTGCTAAATAATCTGTTAACATTATCCATATCGAAGTTATAACCTATAGTGTAATAACAATGAAAAAATTAAAAATTTATATTTAAAAAAAATATAAAGTAATATATAACAATAACATACACCTATTTTGGTATCTAAATATACACAATATGATGACAAAGCCAGTGCCACCAATGTGCTTATTCTGACTTGAATATGATCATATAGTATACTTGTGTAGGGTTCAATATATATTTTTATAAATTCAAATTCGGTTAAATTATTCATAAAAATAAAACATGTAAATATAACAACAGGAATAACCACAATATGTAATAATTTATTTCTATTTTTTTTAAAAAAAAAAAAAAAAAAAAAAATTAAAATGTGTGTTAATACAAATTTAGTTACAATTTAAAAATAAATATGATTTTAAAATTTAAATTTAAAATTTTAAAATTTTAAAATTTAAAATTAAAATTTAAATAAAACACTGAATTTTTATTTTTATTTTATTTTTAATGATTATGATTATGATTATTTATATATACATATAAAATTATATTATTTATTTTTTTTTACTATGTATATATTTACATCTTATTATTGTGATGAACAGCATAAAAACCATATTGATCAAGTAAATTAAATAACACCATTTTATAAAGTAATTATTAATAATTATTTATTCTTTGTTTTTTGTTTTTTGTTTTTTATTTTTTTTTGTTTTTACTTTTTTTTTTTTTTATGATTATTTTATGATTATTTTATGATTATTTTTGATTTTTTGATTTTTGTTTTTTGATTTTAAAAAAAAAGTATACTAATTTTGGGTAATACTTTTAAAAATAAATTTTTTTAAATTTATATTTTTTAAAAAAAAAAAAAAAAAAATAATATTAAATTATAAATAATATAATTTCTTTTTTAAAAAAAATTTAATAGTATACGCTATTATTAATAATATCATTTATAATTATGATTATTATGATTGTTAGTAATAAAAGTATTAATTTATTATTTTTGAAATTAAATAGTTATCTTTTTTCTGAACCAATCTGCTTATCATCATACAACTTTTAATTTAGTTGTTAAATGAAATAATTAATATTAAAATAATTTTTAGATTCTATCATAACTGTTTCTTTTTTTGGAATTATTTAATTATTTAATTATTATTTTTAATATTAAATATTAATTTAAACTATTAAAAAAAAAAAAAAATCCATTTGACACAATAACAATAACACACTAATAAATCTGTTAAAAAAAAAAAAAAAAAAAAGTTGAAAAAATTGAAAGAGAAATGTATTAAATAATTTTTTTTTAAAACAAAACTTTTTCCTTATCAAATAAACTCACATTTCCCCTTCGTCGACCCTTTTAAAAAGATATAATGTCACAATAATTATGATAAATTTTTATAAATATTATAACACATACAACATAAATAAAAAATGTAGTTGATTAAAAAAACAAATAAGGATACAAGTACTATAATAAAACTCTCTCTTATAATTTATTTTTAAATTAAAAAAAAATAATTTAACATAAAATTTCTCCAATCTTTAACATTTTTTCTTTTTCTATTTCCTTTTTTTTTTATTTTATATTATTATTATTAATATATTATTATTTATAATTTATAATGAATAATTTAACATGATCAATAAAATAAAACTTGTAGTAATTTGATCATTTTATAAAATAAAAAAATAAATAATATTTTTTATTTTTGGTCATTTGTTATGAAAATCATATTTGAAATTAAAAGTGGTTTATTTATTTAAATCTGTTTTTCTAAAATTGATGATATGTGCATGCTTAAATATTCATTTGTGTATAAATATTTTTTTCAAAAGCGTGACTTTTATGATCTTTTATCTAAACTTTTGGTTTTATAAAATATTTTGGCTATGTTTCTCTAATAATGATATTATTTTGATCAAAACATTGTTTAATTTATTAAAGTAATTATACTTTATAAAAATATATTGAAAACTATTGGTTTCAATCAAAAAGTTTTTAAAAAATCAAATTTATTATTATATTTAAAAAATGATTATTAATTCACACACCACACATACACACACAAATGTAAATACCCAAAATCACACATAATCATTATGTTTTTAATTAAAATTTATATATAATTAATGATTAAATTTATAGATTCATTTTTTTAAACATACTTACCACACAAGGGAATTTATTACTTTTTTTATAAAAACCTCTATCTCAAAACCAACATATCAAAACAATATAAAATCTACTCATAATTATTAATTATAATAATCAAAAACAATTTAATTAAGATATTATTGAGATAGTTGTATACTATTTAAATTATTATTTGTTTTATTTTTTAAAATTTAAACAAAAAAAAAAAAAAAATAATAATAAAATATAAAAAAAAAAAAAAAAAAAAAAAAAGAAATTTTATAGATATATAAAATTATATTAGTTTTATTAAAATGACTTTTATTTCTTTAACTGCTGTATTTTACTTGACTATTGAGTTATATCCTTTTTTATTTATTACTTTTTTATATTTATGGAATCTTTTTACCTTGTTTAGCATTAGCGAGAGCAACTATAAAGATTAAAAAAAATTTTAAATTAAAAGAAAAAAATAATTAGTTAGGCGACATTAAAATAAGTTAAATGACACTAAAAAATTTTTTTTTTGTAGTTTTTGATGATGACGAAGGAAATACATGAGCCAAATATTAAAAAAAACTATTTTATCTGTGAGCCAAATTTAAAAAAGAAATGGGGGTGTTTTTTTAAAATAAATTGATCAATACTCTGTGATTGATTTTTTTTTTTTTAAAAAAAAAAAATAGAAAGAGTATATCATCATTTTGATCTTTATTTGCCATGTCCTTCTGCAGTATTTGAAATTGAGAAAATATTTTATTTAATAAATAATTTTCATTTCTTTTTTTTTTTCTTATATACCATACTGCATAATTGATTGTGGTTTCTTTAAATATTTTTTGTTGTTGATGTTATTATTATTGTTTTTGTTGTTGTTATTTTTATTATTAGTTTTTGTTTATTATCCAATAACAACTAAAAAGGTGATTGTATAACTATCATTTTTTATTTGGCAGTTGTATTATTTATTAATGTTGGTTTATAATGTTATCAACATTTATTTTTATTTGATTTTAATTAATTTTGATTTTTCTATATTATTATAAAGTTATTTTAAATAAAAAACCAAATAAATCAAATGTAGATTAAATATTATTTGGTAATACCAATATATATAAAAATTACTGAATCATGAAAAAAAAAGAAATAAAATACAAAATACAAAATACAAAATACAAAACAATCATCATTACTACTAAACTTTATATATTTTTATATATATAATTTTTTTGTACTTACTATTTTGTTTGATTTTGTGCTCAACTTCGATTCTTGTACGATTAAAGAAACCAAACATAAAGATAACCTCTAATGTAACAAAGAATGGTGCAATAAAGACTTGGAAAAGATTATCTAAAAGAGCTGGTCTACGGCCTTCAAATACACCATGTCCTACAAATTGGGATACCCATGATAAAATATGGATAATAATACCATAATAGGTTGCAGTTTCTAATCCGTATTTGTTAATTGATGAAAATGCAACATAGTTTGCTGCTAAAATCCAAACCATTGATACTAACTAAATAATATAGTATTATTATTATTAATTCTTTTATTTCTTTTTCTCTTTTTTTTTTATATAAATTGATACTTACACCAACTTTGACATTTAAAAAACAATAATATAATGCTAAAGCAATGGCCAATGGGGTGGATAATGCAAATGGAATCAATCCTTTACTGACATTATTTAATGGTGCTAATAAATCTTCGAGGAATGGAGAGTGTGGTAAATTATTAATAAAAATAAATGCTGTAAGTAAAATTAATGGAACAAAAACAATATGAATAAATTTATTGCTGAAAAATAATTAAAAAAAAAAAAAGGGATCAATAAAAAATTTTTAATTTTATAATTTTTTAATATATATCTATATGAACATACACAGTATTGCTATGATAAGCTCCGTATGAAGATGTTTGATCAACTAAATTAAAAATTGCCATTATATGATTTATTATATTTTTTGTGTCTGTAAAAAAATAAATTAAAAAAAAATAAAAAAAATTTAGAAAAAAATTTAAAAAAAAAATATAAAAATTAAAGTTGACTATAAAAAAAAAGATTTTTTTTATAAATTTTTAAAACACAACTCCTTTGCAAAATTATTATTTATTTATTAATAAATCAATTTTATAATAATTATTATTATTTTTGTTATTGTTATTTATAAAATCGCCACTATTGTTTATATAATCACCAAATTTGATAATAATAATAATTATAATAATATATAAACTATATCTATATACAATAAATATCTTTCTTTTCTTTTTTTAATTATTATTTCTCCTGAAATATTAAAAAAAAAATTAGAAAAAAAAAAAAATTAAAAAAAAAAAAAATTTTATTTTTTTTATTTTAAAATTTTATTTAAAAAAAAAAATTTCGAAAGGGTGTACTATCTCTTTCTATAATAACTCTCATAATATTAATATTCATAAATTCATAATACATCACTATTTTAATGATTTTTATTTATCATATAAAATCACTTCTCTAGTCATCAACAATACAATAATTTAGGTGACATTTATGTCTTTTTAAATATAAAGTTTTTTCTTTATATATATTTAGTTATATAATATATATAATAGATTTTACAAAATAAAAAATAAAAGAAACACATAAATAGAATGGATAGTATTATTATTGATGAAAATTATAATAACACCAATAAAAATAACTTTAATGATAATATAAATAATAATGTAAATAATCAACAACCTTCACAAGAGCAGCAGCAACTAGATCAGTCACAATCACAGCCACAATCACAACAAAAACCACCCAAACAACAGCAACAACAACAAAATAGCATAAATGTAAATAATATAACCTATCAATTATATAACTCATATCAAGCAAATAATAGCAACAGTATTGAAGAAAAATATAGCAAATATGACCCAAATTATCCAGGTGGTGAAGATGGTACAGATGAATCAAAACCTTGGAACTATTTTTTCGAGGATTATCCATTTCCACATAAACATATGACAAGAATTATGTCTTTAAAAAATAAAGTAGAACATTATATTAAAAATAAAATAAGGTTACCAGACGAATACAGAACTAAAATTTGGTCGTTAATGGAGGATTTAGATAAACTTGTTAATAATGATAACAATAAAAATATTTATAAAGTAATTTATTAAATCTATTTATATAAATTATAAACCATTTAATTATACTAATATTATTTTTATACTTTATAATAAAAACAAAAACAATAATTATTTAGACATGTTTAGAGACTCCAAATGAAGAAATTGAAAACGATGTTAGGACAGACGCAGTTAGAACGTTTCCATCAAGTCAATATAAAATAAAAATGAAAGATAAACAGTTTCAAAGCAAAGATTCATTATTTAAAGTTTTAAAATCATATGCAATATACAATGAAGAAGTACAATATACTCAAGGTATGAACTATTTATGCTTAGTTCTACTATGTTATTTTTATGAAGAAGAATCGTTTTGGATGATGGATTTGTTAATTAAAAAACATGGGGTAGGTGTTTAAGGTTTTAATCTTTTTTTTTTTTTTTTATATATTAACACTATTTTATTATTCAATTATTAATATTAGATGAGACACTTTTTTAAAAAAAAAAGTTATTTACCAAGTTATTTAACAATTTTTGAAAAAGAATTAGAGAACCATTTACCAACCTTAGCAAAACATTTATCAAACGAAGGTGTTCAAATGTATATGTTTATTCAAGGATGGTGGAGTACAATTTTTGTATATATTTTACCAGTAGAAACCATCTCTACCATTTGGGATTATTTTTTTTGGGGTGCTAATGGCATGGCAATTGAGGTTTTGTTTCGTCTTTCCATAGCTTTATTAAAAATGTTAGAAAAAGAACTATTAAAAGTAGGCATGTCAGATTTTTTTGAAACTTTAAAGGACAATAGTCAAAATATAGATTCCCTCGAATTAGTTTACCAAGCATATTCAATCCATCTCTCAGATAAAACAGATTACTTTTTAAGAGAAGTAATACTGAATTATAAAGAAGAAGAAATGAACGATAATATTTTCGATTTTCAAAAACTATTATCAACTATTTATGAAGAAACCGTTGACCAAAACCAACTACATATTCAAAATAAAAACAAAATAAAAACAAATAGTAGGAATCAATCATATTATGATGATGACGAAGATGAAGAATATATAGATTACGATGACTATTATAGAAAATCAGTTTTAGTTGATGAATCAAGTGACAGCGATGACAATTATAATAATAAAACACCTTGTATAATTTCTTAATAAATAAATAACAAATAGTAATAAATCATAAATTATAAATTATAAATTAGAATATCTATTTTATTTTTTTTAATAAAGAAACAATTGTATTCAATGTTTATATAGTTTTTATTTTATTTCATTTTTTTTTTTTTTTTTTTCATATGCATTATTTTTATAGCACAAAAAAATCTTATGATCATTAATTACCAATAAAAGAACAAATTTACAAAAAAAAATCTGATTTTTTTCTTTTTTTTTTTTATGAATTTTTTTAGTACAAAATATAAACAAAAACGTAATTTATTTTAATTTAAAAAAATAAATTATTTTTTTTTATATTTTTTATTTTTTTTTTTTAAAAAAAACCAACCTTTCATTTAAAAATCAAAATTTGGTATTATTAGTTTACATTCACACACTCCTTTAATTAAAGGTGGTGGTTATTATAATTATTTTTATTATTTTTATTTTTTAATTATTATCACCAAAAATTTAAAATTTAAAATTTTTTTTTTTTTTTTTTCAAATGGATAATTTTAAACAAATATTAAGCTATTGGTCAATAAAAGAATCAAATATAAATAGCAATAATAATAATAATAATAATAATAATAATAATAATAATAATAATAATAATAATAATAATAATAATAATAATAATAATAATAATAATAATAATAATAATAATAATAATAATAATAATAATCAAAATAATCAAAATAATAATAGAAAAAAATATAATAACAAAAATGACAACACAAGAGATAACTCAACAATTAATTCAACAGGAACAGCTATACCAACAACAATTGTTAATAATACTACAGATAGTGATAGTATCTCCAGTAGTATTTCTAATACTAATACTGGTTATGACAATGCTAATCAATTACAACTCAAAACTAATACAAATTATAAAGCCATTACTGTTAGTATGGAAAATCTCTTAAAAGAAAGCAAAATCAATGTTTACTCAGCATATAAAGAAAACTCTGAAGTTAATGAAAGTGAAAATGAATCAAATGGGTCAAGCTATTCAATAAACTATAAAAGCGAAAGTGAAACAAACTATAATTTAAATAATGGCAATAAGATTGTGGGCGAAGAATCAGATTCCACTGGCTCACTTTATTCTGCCAGTAGTTATGGTGGTGGTAGCATATATGGAACCAATGGTGGCAATAGTGTTTATGGTAGCGATATTGAATCAACTTCAAATTATGGCACCAATAGTATCAGTGGTATTAGTTCTTATGGATATGGTTATAAAAGCGGATCAAATACACCATATAGTAGCTATTCAGATGGGGTTCTTAATGACTTAACATCAGCTTCGCAACAAAATATGGAACAAAAATTAAAATTAGAAAAATATTATAAAGAAACTAGATTACAAGAAAAGATCAATAACAAGTCTAGAGATTGGAATCAAGAATTTCAAACATTACTTAGACTAACACCATCTTTAGAGAAGTTTCAAAAACTAACCTTCTTAGCATTGGATTTTGTAAAGGCCGCTGAAAACTATGGCTATATCATATTAAAAGAAATGTTTTTACCAAATGAAAAGAAAACAATCAAACCAATTGATATTGGTGGTGTTGCTGGAGGCGAAAAATATCTATGTGCTGGTTTATTATTCAAATTCGCATATGATCAAAAAATTGGGGATCAGTATCTTTATGGAGGTAAATATCCTTCAGAAACAAGGTAAATATTAATTAAATTTATTTATAAAATATAAAAAAATACTATATATTAATATTTTTTTTCTATTTAAACTTTTAAAAATAGCGCCAATAAAGCTGCTGGTAATGAATTAAAGAGTTTATCAAGTTTTTTTCAACATGTTTTAGACAATGAATTTGCCGATAGAGTTAATGTCCCATTAATGTGTATCATTGATTATTTTGGCTATCGTCTTGTTGCAATGTCAGTACTGCCAATTAATAAGCAAACTTTGGTTTATGGTTCATCAGATGCCGGTAACACTGTGCACACCGATGATGAAGAATTAAATTTAATAATGGAAAAAATTGGAAAATCAATGAACTTAAGAGGTCACTTAACTGGTTTAAATCCAAAATTCATGTTTGGACCGGGTGATCTTGAGATTCATAAATCAAACAATCAATATTATGTAGTTGATTTTGGCAGATTATTACCTCCACAATCCTATATAGTGGAAAATCAAGAAAAGAAAAATCAGCAAGGTTCTGTTAGAGATATCTTCTTTAAGATGATTAGACCAGAGCTTTTAAAACAAAGTGAAAAACCACTATCGTCAGATGCTTACTCTGGATGGGGTACTTTGGATCCATTATGCGAAGAATATAACAAGGATATCGATGACATTACAAGAAAACTTTTCGACGAAATTATACCGCACGCAGCATCAGAATTAGAAAAAGATTGGGACAGATTCGAAAAGCAATCCTCAAACCAAATCGACGACTTTGATATTTCTATTGAAGCTCATAAATATGGCATTAATATTAGATACCTTGGAAAAATTAGACATTTAATAAAGAACCCAACACTTAGAAAGCATATCTTAAACGAAATGTTAGCAAGAGTTTTTAAAAATCAAATTAAAAACGACCAAAGACTACATCTAACTGGCCACTATGTCGGCTCCGAAGAACGTTGTATTCATATCATCGTGGAGTTTTTAAATAGAATTATGGGTAATGAAAAGTTTTCGGCAAACACTAAAGATTTTTGGACCGTTATAGTAAAGAATCAATTGGCCGAGAAGTTTGGTCCTTTTGGTTTATCTGAAGAAGAAATGGATCACAAATTCGACCTATTAACAAATACAAACATTTATCGTGTATTATTAAAGTTCCAATCAAAAACAGGTATTAAAATTTCAAGTCGTATTAAAACAATATTAAAAAAGAGTATAGAAGATAAGAAAACACGTTTACCATACTTTTTCTATACCGATATTAAAGAGATTAGACCTGTCGTCAAACATAGCAATATGATAGCTAGATCCGAGGGTATCTCTCTATATATGAAAGCTATCGAGTTAATTTATTCAAATCAAGTTTATTTTGGTAGACCGCTAAACAAACCTGACTTTAACAGATTCAATAGTGATTTTAGCGAAGAGACCAGTCTTTTAGAGGCATGTAAACAAAAACTTTGCTTGGCTTCAAAATCCTCAACTACTGATTCAACTTTATATCATTTATTAGGTTTGGTTGATTTCGAACTATTAAAAATGAAGCCAACTAATCAATCATTAAAATCCTCTTCAAAACATCAACTAATGCTTTCAGTGCGTTATAATGAGACCCCAAATAACCTTTTATCATTAGCAACTATTTTAGATGTCCATTGCGAATTTAAAAAATCAAAAGAAATTTACGACAAGTTATTTTCATTAGCTATAAGTGACTCTAATCTACAATCAACTATAATTCAACTATTATTTGAAAGTGCTTCATTATACTCACCATACTATACAAAAATTACAAATGAATCATTATTATCAGTATCATTTCATCAATTATTGGTTGTAATAGAAATTTTATTAAAATTAAAAGAGAATAATAATGATAATGATAATAATAATAATAATAATAATAATAATAATAATAATGATGAAGATAACAATTTATTAAGTAATGAAGAGTACTTATTTAATAGTTTAAAAATAATATCAGTTTTAATATTTAGAACCTCCCAATCAAATTCATTTTGTACACATTCATCAATCACAAAAATTATATGTTGTATAAAAGGTATAGAATTTAATCATCAATCAATTATCGACCTAGCATGGGAATATATTGAAAGATCATTTTCATATAATGAAAATATTTTAGATGATTTCATCGAAGAAGCAACAACATCCCAATGCTACCCACGTGTTACATTATCCATATTATTACAATATTCTTTAAAGTCTCCATCATTAAAGAAGAGAATGATCAGATTCATAAAAGATAAACCATTTAACCAAATGGCTAAAAACGCTGTTAAAGAAGTTTTTGCAAATGAAAACATTGTTAGTACCCTCACTGAAGCCCTTGGAATTGAATTAGACTATATCTCTTTAAAACGTTCCCACAACAACTTTGGAAATCAGTCACTATTGAATACCATCCATTTAGAAGTTTTATACTTAAACGAAACTACCTACCCACTTCTTATTCAAGATTTATCAAATGTTTCTGCTCAAATCAAAACACTAACCATTAATAGTGGCAAATACCAACCAAACTGTAAAGATGGTGAATCATTACCACAGATAGACTATTCCAAAATGAAATTTAGTAATTTAGTTAAATTTGAATCACAAGATAACGAATTTCCTTCAGAATTTTTGCATATAGTTTTATCAAGTTCAAAAGATTCATTAAAAGAAATTCATTTAAGTTGTTACGAAGTACCTTTGGAAACTTTAGAACTCTTGGGTACCTGCACAAAACTTGAATCATTCTATTTAAGAGTATCAACACAAAAAATAAGAATCGAATTTATTCCAGAATCAACAGAAAGAATTATCGTCGACTCGCCATTTGAAAAAGAAATGCAATTGGAACCATTAATGAAGAAATGTAAAAACCTGGTATCATTTAAACTTAATGATGATGACATAATCAATAAACAATTAGCAGTACTTAAGGAATATCCTGTAAGAGAATTAGATGTTTCATCATATTTAGAATATTTCAAAAATAATCAATTATCAAATGGTGTCGAAAAATATTGGACCAACTCTTTGGAATCATTAAAATTCTTTGCAAATAAGCCATACGATGATTTTTCAAACTTTATTTCAAAATTGGTGAACATTAGATTTTTAGATATAAGATATAATATTAACGATCAAGAAATAAAAACAATTTTATTAAATCTATTAAAATTGGAGAACTTTGCAATCGACTCAAATAAATACCAACTTTTAAAACAAGACGATACCAGCGAATTAATATGCAACAAATCTATAAAGAAACTAACCATTTCTAATATAAGTGCTCCATCACGTAACATCCCAAATATTGGTTCCATTTATCCAAATATCGAATCACTTGAATTACAGTACCCAAAGAATATCAACGATGTCTCATTTAAAGGAATGATAGAAAATCTAACCCAACTAAAAGAACTATCTTTATCATGCTGCTATGATTTAACTGACAACTCTATGATTGCTCTATCAAACTCGCATATAGCCTCAACCTTAACATTACTTTCAATTCGTGATTTCGCCGTGAGCGATGGTTCACTTGTTAAAATTATTTCTTCCTGTACAAATTTAAATCAAATTAAAATTCTCAACTCTTTTAGACGTCCAGATACCTATAGTTATATTAAAAAACTTAAACCAAATATAAAAATAGATTTATAAAAATAAAATTTAATTAAATAAATTGAATTCAATTTCCTTTTAATTTCTGTTTAAAAAATAAAAATTAATTATTATGTCACCAATTTAAAATTTAAAAAAAAAAATAAAAATGGGGTTTTTTGTTTTTATTTTATTTTATAAAAAATATAATTATTTTTAAAACAATGGATAATTACTATACATGTGTTTTTAGCCAAGCAAGATATAGCGACCAACAAAGAGAAAAACAGATACCAGAATTTATAATCGAAAACAAAAAAAAATGTCAATTTTTTTTCTTACCCAAATACCCAATTATACAATTAGAAGAGCAATTAGTGCTTAAAGATGGCAATGAAATTTCAAAAGATCTCTTTATATGCCCAATTTGCCAAGATTTAATGACCTCTGTTTTACAATGCGAGTATTGTTCAAATATATGCTGTTTTAACTGCTGGGAAAAATTGATATCATCAAATAGACCAAAATGCTTTTTTTGTAGACACTATGGTATTACTATAAAAAAATTACACAATAATTTATTTTATAAAAAAATATTCGATCAATTAATGGTAAGCTTTATTTCAATATTAATTAATTTCTTTAATGATACTAAAAATTTCTTATTTAGTTTAAATGTTGTAATCAAGATTGTAATTTAATGTTTCCTTATGACCATTACTACTATCACTGCTGCAATAAGTGTGAACATAGATTGTTATCGTGTGGTTTGTGTAATCAAACATTAAAATATAGTAAAATAGAAACCCATGTGGATGAATGTCTTAAAGTAGATGGAAAATGTAGTTATTGTAACAAAAAAATGGACAGAGTTTCTTTTATTAACAACCATCATGACAAAATCTGTCCCAAATTTAAATTAAATTTGTAGAAAATGTGGACAATTATTAAATATATAAGGATATCATATATAATCAGATTGTATAAACAATAAAATTTCATATAAACAAATTGTTATTTTGTAAATTAAAAAAAAATTAATAGTTTTTATATTTATTTTTTTTAAAAGTGAGATGATTTTTAATGATACATTGTCATCGGTATTTTTTTTTTTTTTTTAAAAGTGAAGATAATTAAAAGCAAATTAACCAGTAAGATACCACTGTATACAAGTTGGGCACAGTAACATCTTCAACCATTATGCTTTTTTTTTTTTTTTTAATGATAATATTATTAGTGTAAGAGACGGTATTTTATTGAATAAAAATTTTAAATGGTATTTGTGAGGATTTGTATTGTTATAGGTAGGCGATTGGGAAGTTGATCAGATCTCTGGGAAGAATACTCTGTGGAAAAAACACCCTAAAAATAAAAAAGTTTCGCCCAAAGGGGGGCTCGAACCCCCGACCACAAGGTTAAAAGCCTTGCGCTCTACCGACTGAGCTATCTGGGCATTTGTTGAAAATTTAATTTTAAAGGTAATTTTTGGTTTTTATTTAAAATTTTAAATAATTTTTCAATTAAAATTGTTTTTTAATTATATGAAATTAGAATATAAAAACCAATTTTTGTCAAAAAAAAACATTGATGACAAAAAACAAATTTATTCATCGCAAAATAAAAAAATTGAGAATTAAATATTCATATTTAAAATTTAAAAATTATTTTCATATTTAAAATTTAAAAATTATTTTCATATTTAAAAAATATTGTATTAAAAAAATTAAATTAATATTGAGATTATATAATGATATATATTATATCAAATAATTTCAATCGACTTATTTTTTTAATTTATTTCTAAAAAATATTAAATTTAGAATCCAACCCGAAAAATAATCTTTGTTGTTATTTTTTTTATTGAATTAAATTGATTTTGAAAAAAAAAAAAAAAAAAAAAAAAACAAACTAAACATAAAAATATTAAACAATCCAAACAAAATAATTTCAAAAAAATTAAAAAAAAATTTGCCAAGCTGTGTGGTAAATTTTTTAAACTTCACTTTATTTTTAAATTTTTAAAAGTAAAATGAAAAATCTTATCAAACAACAATGAGAAAAATATATTTGTACTCTATCCAATTTATAAAATAACTTGTTAATTATTTTCTTTGTTTAAATATTCGAATTAAATTTATGTGCAAAAAAAAAAATGTAAAAAAAAATGAAAAAAAAAAAAAAAAAAAAAAATTAATTTTTTTTGAATTTTTTTTTAAAATTTTTTTATTTTTTTTAATTTTTTTTCTTTTTTTTTTTTTAAAAAAATTTTTTAATCACTCTCATTCACATTATCACATATATTTATTTCATACAAAATGTCATATACTCCAAATTCATTCGTCGGTGTAAGTGTTTTTTTTTTATTACCACTAAACTCCAACAACTTTAGGTTATAGGTCAATTTTATTTTATATGTAAAAAATCGATGAAATCATATAACAATAATATAATAATAAAATTTTGATGGATTACGCAATACCCAATTCAACAATACACAACACTTTTTATATCGAAATAAAGAATTACCAATATTAATATAAACATATAATTATAATTAATAATAATAATAATAATATAGGTTTTATATGTTGTCAGCTTTTTAATGGGTACTTCATATGGTGCTCAAAAAGTTAACCACTTCAAAGATGTTGCCAAAAACAATTTAATCGCTGAAATTAAAACCACAGCAACTGCCGAAAAATCAAAATCATATCAAGAAGGTTTTGAAGCTGGTATTAAATCAACTCAACCAAAAGAAGGTGCCAAATACAACAGTGAAATCGAAAGAATTATTGGTGAAACCACTGGTACCAACTTTTTCGCCACCAACTAAATAATAATATATAATAACAAATCAAATGAAATATTTTATAAAATTTAAAAAAAAAAAACTATAATTTTAAGTAGAGATAGTTTTAAATACTATTTCACTGTAAAAAAAAAATAAATAAAAAAAATTATATAAAAAAAATAAATAATTATCTTTTAAAAAAAATTTTACATATAAAAAATAAATAAAATAAAAATAAAAAAATTTTACATATAAAAAATAAATAATACAAAGATAAAAAAAGAATAAAAAAATTTTGAAAAGGATAAAAACAATAAACTTAAAAGTTTTTTTTTTTTTTGTAAAAGGATATTTTTATTTAAATTCATTATTTTGTGTTAAAGAAAAAAAAGGGATAGAAACTCTGTATATTTTTAAAAAAGAAATAGATTATTAGTATTTATATTTTATATTTTATAAATATAAAAAAAAGTCTATTTTTTGAATGGTTGAAATCAGATGTTAAAAAACAGCCAGTTGTTATCGCCAGGATGTTCGGCTCTTACCCCGAACTCAGACGGTAATTAGTTTCATCATTTGAAACCATTCAAAAATTAACTTTTTTTTTTTAAAATATGATCACATACCAAAAAAGAAAAAAAGAAAAGCAAACTAAAGAGAAAGCAAAAACAGAAAGAATTCAAGAACCTATTATAAATTAAAAATAAATATTAGTATTTTCATTAAAATATTACCCCTTTGTTTTATATATTATTTAAATAATTTTTTTATTATTTATAATTATCAGAAAAGAATAGAAATGCACTAGTCTCATCAAAAGTTTTACAGTAACTCTAGTCTTTTTGCAGAAATCATCACCAAAATAAAAATAATAAAATATTATATAAATAAATATATAAAATTAATTATCACTTACTTTTATCGGTTTAGTTTGGTGAAAAAAAAAAAAATAAAAAAAAAAAAATTTATAAATTTAAAAAAAATAAAAAAAAAAAGTTTTTTTAGAAAAAAAAATTATAAAAAATAATTTTATAAAAACTATAACGAAAATTTGAACGTTACATTATTACAAACAATAGATGTTATATTTACATTTTTTAAATTTATTTATAAATAAATTATTTTTAAAAAAAAGATTACAGATTTTATACAAATATTATTATTTACTGGCGCTGCTGGTTAATGAGAAAAATGTTTTTTTTCTTTCTAATTTTTCGTTATTGCTATTTGTTGTTGATAAGGTATTAAATTTAAGACCATTTTGGGCTGAAGTTGTTCTTTGAGGTTGTTCACACATATTTGAGGCTTTATATAAATCTTTATCTGTTAAAACTACACTTGTTTTAAATAGATTTTCAATTTGATCGATTTTCTTTAACCCATATTCTTCAGTTTGGAATTTTTTAATTTCCAATAGAATTTTAGTTATCATTCTCATCTAAATAATAATAAATAAATAAATAGTTAGTATAACAATTTTAATATTCGGTTTTTAATTAGTATGAATAATTACCTTTTCGAAATTTATATAACCATTTTCTAATACACTTGGTACTTCTTCAATATAGGTTAAATCTCTTAAATATACCGCAACGAATGGTAATGATGGATAAATTGGGGATGATGTAATTTTTCTATAGTTGGAGTAGTTCATACGGTCATTAATTAAGTTGTTTAGTTGTTGGAAAAGATCGAGGAATTTTTTATCTACACATTCCCATGTTCTCTTTAAACGTTGAATACTACCTAAATTTAAACCCATTAAAACCCCTGTTAAAGTATTATAGTTTCTAATTTTTCTAAGGACGTCAGCCACAACAATAAAACGTTTTAATACACATGCACGATGTTTAATGTTATTTGATGATAAGATTTCAGTAGCAACCCAATAACTAACAGAATTGGAACGACTTATAAAGGCAATAATATGGGGTACTTTTTCTTTTGAGTCTGATTTGCTCCAAGCTGTACGATAAAAGTCAGTTGGTGAAAGCTTCTTGAATAATTGATAGTCGATAAGTGTTAGTTGTCTTGCAACTTCTACTGGATGAATATCTAAAAATAATGTTATATTGGGTGATTTTGATAGAATAGGTTCTGGATAGTTATTGTTATTGTATGGGAAATGATAGATAGTGGTAGATTTATCTTTAAACTTTAGCCTTTTTTCTTTGACTTGTGATGCATTAGTTGGTGGGTTATTGGTTGTTGTAGTAGTTGTGTTAGTAGCAGTTGTAGTAGCAGTGTCTATAATATTATTATTAGTTTTGGTGTTATTATTTTCATGATTATTATCTACATTATTTACAATATTTTCATTTAATTCTGATTCATTATTTGTTGATGCTGTTGTTATTAATGATGATGAGGAGGATGAAGAGGATGAAGATGAACCAAATGATAGGTTTGAGACAGAGTGTTGGATTTGATAGTGTTGAATATGCTCAAATGAGGATAGATATGATGGTGTCGAGTAAGATAAGTTGGGTGATTGACTTGGTGAGTTATTGGAGGGTGTTTGGGCAGTTGGTGATAAACTGTTTGGGGATTCATTTTCACTTGCACCATTGTAGTTATAGCTATTTGAAGTTGCTGATGCTTTATTTACACTATTAGCATTACTATTTTTTGAAGTTTTGGCGGTAGATGCAGTTGATGACGATGTTATATTACCAGTACTTGTGTGATTGCTATTATCTTTTTCAATTTTTTTAGAGGGATGAAGGATAAATTGATTTTGTAAAAGTTTTGAAAGTATTTCTTTACATTCATCTCTTGAAATTGAAAATGTTGATTCTAACCAATCTACAGCATCGCTACCAGTGAATGAGCTATCAACCAAAATATTTCCTCTCTTTTTTTCCTTTAGTGCTAAAGAGATTGATAATAGTTTCGAAATGGAAACCAAGTTATCTAATGGTACAATATCTTTGATGGTTTTGGCATTTCCCTTATTATTTGTTAAGCTTAAAAAACGAAGAATACTACTACTTTCGTGAATGCTTTGTCTAAGGAAAAGGCCCCAACGAGAGCTGAATGTCATTACATCAGTATCGATGAAATCTATTAAATTTTGATATAGTTCACCATTTGTTATAAATACATGGCCATGTTGATCTATCCATTTCTTTATTATGTTTATAATACGCAAACAAAAATAGTTATTAAACTGATCTTCTTTACCACTGCTATCTTTATCAATCTTGGCAAATTCTGAAGGATTATTGAATCTGTGTTTAAGGTCACTTAATAAGTCTTTTGATGGTATGTAATAGTGGTATGTGTATAAAAATACATCCAATGTTTGCGTATCCATAACTCTTTGAATATCGGTTAAAATATCAATGATTTTATCTAATTGCCCAGATTCGATTTCGCCATTTTGATTAAATTTAATACCCTCAATTTGATTTTCATCATCATTTTTAATTTGGTTATTATTTAATGTTGAGGTGGTCACAGAGTTATTGATATTTGGTGTATTGTTATTATTGTTATTATTATTAAGAATTAAATTATTACTACTATTTAGATTATTTTGATGAGTAATTCTTGAAATAGTTTCTTCAATTTCATTTACAAATTCACCATCATAAGAAGAGTATTCCCAAGATGGTATGGTAACTTCACTTCTGCTTCTTAAAAATCTTCTATAAATGAAATCATAGTCAATATTTATATTATTACTATTGTTATTGCTGTCATCTAGTGAGGATTGTAATGAATGGCTATAGTTGTTATCATGTTGCTTTGTTGATAAACAGTTATCAGAGAATGATCTATATAGTGGTTGCATTTGCTGTGTTGGTGTGGAGTTGTTTCCATTCATTTGTGAGGGTGATGATGATAATAGATTACTATTATGATTATTACTTTGGTTTGATAACATTAGAGCAGTTGAGGATGAGAGACTTGTGGATGAGGTTAGGTTTGATGATAAGCGATAGTGTGATGAGTTTGTGTTTGTTGGTAATTGTGAAAAACTATTTTTTAAATATAACATTAAATTTGGAGGAGGGGTTTTACGATATTCTCTATTTGTTATATTTGTTATATTTGGTATACTATTAAAAATTAATAAATTTTGATTATAATGTATTTTTTGTTCATCATGATTATTATTATGTTGTGGTTGTTGTTGTTGTGGACTATTTGTATTATTTAAATAATACATATTACTATTACTATTTTCATTAGATATATTATTTAAACTTTGATTATTTGGTGTATTACTATGGCTATTATTTGAACTTTGTATTGGTGAATTATTTAAACTACTATCGGTACTCATAAAAAAATTATTTAATTCTGTAGAGTTTGTTATATTTAAAGAGCTTGAAGATTTTTTTTGAGCTAGACCGCCACTAATAGTATTGCTACCACCTTTAATACCTTTAACTTGTTGATTGCCCATTTTAGAGAAAAAAATAGTACCACTTAATCTATTTGATTTCTTTTTAGTTGCACCTCTACCTATACTTCCACCTAAATATTGTTCGTCAGCTGATAAATCAAAACTATCGACGGATGATGAATCACTAATGTCAGTAACTGATACCAATGGTGTACTACCTATACTACCACTACTGTTATTTAAAGATGAGGATGTTGCACTTGCTGAATCCTTTGTTGAGCCACTACCACCAATAATTGTTGGTGATGTATTTAATGATGTCGGTAATGATTGTGTTTGTTTAATACTATTTGATTTTGAATTAAATAATCTTTTTAAAGTTTTAATGGAACTTGATAAACTTTTATTTTTATCTTTATTATTAATAATATTATTATTTGGAAGTTGAATATTTTTTTGTAGCGGTTCTTCAATAATATTATTTTTATTAATATTATTATTATTATTATTAAAATTATTATTATTATTATTATTATTATTTAAATTATTATTATTTATAATACTATTATTATTGTTAGTATTGTTATTTATACCACTATTGATACTGTTATCATTAATAATTGTTTTTGTGTCCATTTTTTTTTTTTTTTCTTTTTTTTCTTTTTTTTTTTGCTAAATTATTTTTTATTATTTTTTTATTTAATTCAAAATATAATTATTGTTATTATGCTATATATGTATAAGAGTGAGAAAAAATTGTGTGTTAATAATAATTTTGTCCATTTATGATTTATTTATTATGATAATAGTGATAAAAACAAAAACAAAACAATTTTTTTTATTATTTTATATGGATATTCATACAAAAACATAAACAAAAAGAATATCAAGCACACTTAATACATAATTACCCCCCAACACACACATACACACACTTTTTAATTTATATAAATATATATAAAAATAATTATTAGACAAATGCATACAAAATTATTCATATTAAATAAACACACACTAAAATTTATTTAAAAAATAAATAATATTAACACACACATACATACACCCAAGGAGAGAATGAGTGAGATAAATAGTTTTTATATACACACACACACAAACACACAGATATGGAAAAAACAATAAAAACACACATCTTCAAAAATCATTAATCAAAAAAAATTTAAAAAAAAAAAACAAAGAAAAATTTATAAATATAATCTACATCTAATTAACTATCATTTAATAAGGTAGTGGGGAAATTTTTTTTAAAAAAAAAAAAATAAAACAAAATCATATATTTTGCCATATGTATCAAAAATAATTTTCAAAGTAAAAAAAAAAAAAACAAAAAAAAAAGTGAGTGGATTAGGAGGGTAAATATGTGAGTTATTTGTTTTTTTATGTATGTGTGTGTGGATAGTGTGTGAAAATATCATAATGTACCAATTAGAATTTTATAATTATTATTATATTATTAAATTATAATAATGAAAACAAGCACACTATTAGAAATCATGATATGATTTAAAAATGGAGCACAAACAAATATCAATTAATTTTCTTTAAAATATCCATATAGAGATATATATAATTTAAATTTCCTTTTATATAAAAATAAATTTAAATATAATAATAAATATAAATATTATTATTTTTATAAATGTGAATGAGGAGAAAGAAAAGAGTGAGAGGGTAAAGGCGAGGGTGAGTGAAATGTTGGGGTGGGTGTGAAAAAAGGAAGGTGTGAGCGAAATTGAAGGTGAGAGAAATAAGTAACAATCCTTCACTCTATCTTTAGATTTATATACGTTCCATTTTTTTTTTATAAGAAAAACAAACATACATTGTCATTATTTTTTTTTACAGTTAATTATAACACAATATTATTTCTATTTTTATTAATTATTTTTTATTTTTTATTTTATTTTTATTTTTTTTATTTTTTTAATAATAAATAACAGCAATGATCCATTATATAAATGGAAATTACATATTATCAAGACAACACACACATGAAACAAATATCTTTTCCTATAATTTTTTTTTTTTGGTTGTTTGTTAAGTTTTGTTTGTTTTTTAAATTAATTATAAATTTACATTTTTCTTTTGCACCATCAACTTGTTTTTGAATTTATGTTAATATTTGCTTTTGTTTGAAAATTGAATTTAAAAAATAAAAATAAATTATAAAAAATGAAAAATGAAAAATAAAAAAAAGAAAAAGGAAAATTATAAAAAAAATAAAAAAAATAAAAATAAAATTCAATCACTGAGGTTATTATCTATGATTTATTTATGATTATTTATTAAGTGATATAAATTTTTTTCTTTTTTTTTTTTTTTTTTTTCTTTACAAAAAAATTAAAATAAAATAAAACAAAAAAGATTTTTGTGATAATATGTGCAAATCTAAAATAAAATAAAATTTTTTAAAAAAAAAAAAAAAAAAAAAAGAAAAAAAGAAAAAAAAAATAAAATTTTTTTTTTTAAAAATAAAATTTTTCAATATCTCGAAACTATTTCTCACAATATCTTTTTTTTTTTTTATTTTTTTTATTTTTTTTTTTTTTTTAAAATCATTTCAAATTATTACTTATTAAATTAATTCATTCTTATAAAGGGACCTTGAAAAAACAGTTTATTACCTTGGTTAAAATTTAATAAAAAAAAAAAAAATAAAAATAATAATAAAAATAATAATAATAATAATAAAAATAATAAAATATTTGTTTAAATAGGAAAAAAAATAAAAAATAAAAAATTAAAAAAAACTTTTTTTTGTAACCAATTTGACCACCATAAAGGGGCACTTTTATTTATTAAAACAAAATCCTTATTTTTTTTTTTTGTATAAAAAAGAAAAAAAAAACTAAATTAAAAAATAAATTACATTAGGAACAGATTCAAAACAAAAAAAAAAAACCATTCTCATTTCTAATATAACAAAAATTTTAATTAATTGTTTTTTTTCTTTTTTTTTTTTTTTTGTTTTTTTTCCTTTTAATTTAGTTGTTTTATTAAACTTTTTTATTTTTTATTATTTATTGTTAAAATTTAATTAGAAAAAAAATAATTAATTAATCACGAATAAAGGAAAAAAAAACTTTTTTTTTTTTAATTTTTTAAATTTTCATGCATCCAATAAATTAAAAAAATTAACCAATAATAACATTTTAATAATAGTAAATAGTAGCAATAGTAATATTAATTGTAGTAGCATTAATAATTTAAAAATTAGCAATAATAAAAATAATATCATAATATTATTTTTAATGATAGTGAATAACTTTCGTTTAGATAGCAGTTTTATTATTTTGTTTTATCACTTAATTAAAATAAATAATAGTTGTAATAAAAGAATTTCATAATTTTATCTTTTTTTTTTTTTTTTAAAATTAATTAATTAAAAAATGTCTCAAAATATTTACGACAATGAAACATTTTTTAAAAGTTATTCATTATTGCCAAGGTCAATTAAAGGATACGAGTTTTCATACGAATGGCCTTACATCAAATCATTGCTGCCAGAAATAAAAAATAAAAAGATATTGGATTTAGGTTGTGGATATGGTATGTTTAATCATTAGTTTTAAATAAAAACAATAAAGTATACTAAATTTTTTTTTTTAAAATAATACAATAATATTTAAGGTTGGTTTTGTAGGGAGGCTGTTAAAATGGGATGTAAAAAAATCTATGGTTTTGATATTTCAAAAAGAATGTTAAAAAGAGCCAAGGAATTAGAAAAACTGGAACCACAAATTGACATTTCGAAAATTGTGTATGTTAATCAAGATTTAGAAAATGCAAATTTTATAAAAAATAAATTAAATAATTTTAGAGATATTAATGGAAATAGCCCAACGGAAACATGTACTATAAATAATGAGGATGAAAGTAATAATGATTCAGAAAAAGATAATGACAATATAGATTTGGGCGATCAAATAATAGATAGTATAAATATAAATCACCATCAACCGGATCAACTGTCACAGCTACAACCACTCAAATACCAAGGAATAGAGCAAATTGATTTTGAGAAATCACCAAATGATATTTCAACAATAGATAATAATAATAATAATAATACAAATATAATTTGTAGTAAAAATAATAAATCAAAAGATTTACCAGATTTAAATTCAAATAGTGACGAATGTAGCAGTAGTGACGATGATGATAATTATTTAAAATTCGATTTTGCATTGGGTGTTTTTATATTTCATTATATAAAAAATATTGAAGATTTATTTCAAAAGATTTTTAAATCATTAAATAACGGTGGAAGTTTAGTGTTCTCAGTTGAACATCCAATTTATATGGCATCAAAGTATCCAGGCTATGGTTGGACCCCGCTAAATAAGGGAAACGAAGAGGAATTAGTATGGCCTGTGTCCCATTACTCATACGAGGGCGAACGAACAAGAACCTGGTTGGGTGTCGAGGGCATCAAAAAGCAGCACCGGACCATAGGCACCTATATAAATTTATTAATTAAAGTTGGCTTTACAATTGACCATGTTAATGAATGGTCACCCAACGACAATCAAATTAGAGAATTTCAACTTTTATCAAGAGAAAGAGAAAGACCTATCATTTTAATTATAAAAGCAATTAAAAAATAATTATTTTTTTATATTATAAATTATAAATAAAAAAAAAAATTAATAATTATTATTCTTTTTTTTTTTTAATAGAGACGAACCTATTTAAAAAGAAAAAAAGCTTAAAAAAAATAAAAAACTTAATTAAAAAACTTAATTAAAAAACTTAAAATATAAAAACTTAAAATATAAAAACTAAAAAAAAAAAATACAGATTTTGTTTATTTATTCATTTTTTTTTCTTATTTTTTTTTAATAATTTTTTTAAAATTTTAAAAATAAAAAATAATGTTTTTTTCAAAGCTATTTAATAAAAACTATATAAAAAATATGTCAAGCCAAATTATTAAAGAAAATGTTCAAGCATCAATGCTTCTTTCTGCAGTTGGTGATTCAATGGGATATCGTAATGGGAAATGGGAATTTGAAAAAAGTACAAAAAGCATATTAGATAGTTATGAAAAATTAGGAGGTTATAAAAATATAGAGTAAGTTTAAATAAAATAACATCAACACCAATAATAACAATATAATAACAATCAATACATACATACCTATTTAAATTAAACTAAAGACTAATACAATAATCTAAATATATATAGAATTAATGATAGGGATTGGAGATTATCAGATGACACTATTATGCATATTGCTACAGCCATTGCTATCACTAGACCAACTAATACAGATAACGAATCAATTTGTAAAGAAATGGCAACAGCATATATTAGATCAATGGAGGATATGGGTGGTAGAGCACCAGGTATTCAATGCATTAACTCTGTTCAATTGATGACACCTGGTATGAAAAGTAAACTCTATAAATGGGACGAGATACCATACTCTGCAACTGCCGGTGGCTGCGGTGGATCGATGAGATCCATGTGCATTGGTTTAAAATACTCTGGCGAAGAGCAATTGGATGATCTTATTGAACTATCCATTGAAAGTGGTAGAATTACACATAATAACCCAGTTGGTTTTTTAGGTGCAATGGTTTCAGCATTGTTCACATCATACGCCATTAGAAATATCGAGCCAAAAGAATGGGGCACCAAGTTAATGGTCGAGGCTCTACCAAAGGCCAAAGAGTATTTAGAAAAAACATCAAACAATACAAATAGATCAATGGAGGACTATGAAAAGGGTTGGAATTACTTTTTGACCGCTTGGAAAAGCTATTTAAAAACCAGAAAGATCCCAGTCGATTTAAATGAAAAAAAGAAATTTGAAGATGATAAAATCGAATATCCAGTATTCCCAAAAGAGTGGTCAAGTGATTGTAGTGTTAGAGATAAATACTACTCGTCCATTTCATTCTCTGGATGGTGGGGTTCGAGTGGTCACGATAGCACCATCATTGCCTACGATGCATTATTAGCTTCTGGTAACAGTTGGGAGGATATGATCAAATACTCAATACTCCATGGTGGTGATAACGACTCTACCGGTGCCATTGGTGGAGCTTTCTTTGGCGCATTGTATGGTCTCAATGGTGTACCCGAGGTCAACTACAAATCACTCGAATATAGAAAAGTAATTGAAGGTTTATCAAAAGCATTAGTAAAATCAATCCAAGAGTATCAAATCGAACAGGAACAAAAAAAAAATTAATGACACGACTTTATAATTAAATAAATTTATTGTTTTTGTATATTAATATATGTTTTGATTTTATTTTATTTTATTTTATTTTTTTAAAAATTATATATAATTTATATATAAATTTATAATATAATAGGAATATATAATTATTTTAATTTATTTATTTATTTATATGTGGGTTAAAATAGAAGCAATAGTTTTACAAATAAAGTTAAAAATAATATTTTATTATTGTTGTTGATATTATTACTATTACTATTTTTTTTATTATTTTAATAAATTAAAGAAATTATATTTTTTTTTTTTTTTGTTTAGTTTATAAATACACTATCCAAAAACTCTTTAATAAATTTATAATAATTCTTTTGAAACATGAGAGTCATATGGGCACCATCTTCAAATACTATTATTTTCTTTTTTGAATGTTTTGCGTTTTCTGCTAGAGATGTCATATGTTTGGATGGTACCAATTCGTCATTTTTAGCTGAAAGGAATAAAATATCGCATCTAACATCTTTAATGGCATTGTTGCTTTCCCATCTATTTCTACAAAAAGGTTTAAATAATTTTAACATTGGTAAAACTTCATCAACCATATCTGGTACTGATGTAAATGTATTTTCTAAAATTAATGCTTTAATCTAAAAATAATAAAAATATATGTGACACAAGTTGCATTGTTAGTACATATTGAGAAAATTGTAAATTGAAATTATGAATATAACTATATATATATGTAATACATACATCGTTTGGATATCTTTTAGCAGTGTCAATAGCAACAGCACCGCCTAAAGATCTGCCAAAGCAAATGATTTGATTTGGATCGATTAATGGGTCTGAAAGTAAATACTCCATACAAGCATCAATATCCTTTTTTAAACCTGGTTCGCTTGGTGTACCTTCACTAAATCCATATCCTCTGTATGATAAAATAAATACATTTATATTAACATTGTCAAATAAGTTTTTGATGTTATCTAATCTGTGTGATAAATCTAAATAAAATTTAATTAATACCAATGATTGACGATGATTGTTAATTATATTAAAATAGATATAGATTTACTTACTTCCCGCATTAGAATGACAAAATAATAATGTTGGTACATTTTTAGAATTTTCTTGTCTAAAAAACCATGTTTGAACTTTAATACCATCGCTAGTTGTTAAATAGATCTCTTCAAATTTATCTGGATCGAAATATGATTGTGGATTAATCATAGTTTTGGTATCTGGGAAATATAATAATTTTTCTTGTGATGAATATATTAAAGAAACTATAAGTGCAATACCCGCTGTTGCAAGAATCGTTCCCCAATAAGCTGTTGAAACTATAGCATTATACATTTTAATTTTTTTAAAATTTATATATATATATAAAATATATATATATATATATGGTATTAAATTATTTAATATTGGTGTTTATGAATTATTATTATAATTATTATAATTATTTAATACTATTGCTTCTATTGTTAATTATTACTACTATTTGTTATTATTTACAAAATATAATTAAATAAATACAAAAAAATAAGTTTAAAATAAAAAAAATTTTAAAAAAAATAATTTTTTTTTTTTTTGTAATTTTTTTTTTTTTTTATATTTATTTTTAATTTTAAAAAAATAGTTGGGTCTTTATTTGTGATAAAAAAATAATAAAAAAAAAAAAAAAAAAAAAAAACCCTTTAATATTGTTGGTATCATAATTATCGTTTAAAAAATATGGGGGGGAAGAGATATTAAAAAAAAAAAAAAAATCACATTCGAATTAAATATTGGTATTTTTTTTTTTTTTTTTTTTTGATAAATATCCAACTAAATGATTTTTAATATGAAAAAAAAAAATCACATTCGAATCAAATATTGGTATTTTTTTTTTTTACGCAACAATATAATTTTCCACCACACGCATTTTCAGAAAATTCATATAATAATAAAATTGAAATATGCAAACGCAAATATAATCATACATTTTTATTATAATGATTATTTTTAACTTTTAAGCTAATCATTATAATAAAAAAAAGATATTACATATTAATATTTTTACTTGCTTCCAAAGTTTTTTTTTTTATTTTTATTTCGATAAATTTTCATTGTGTGGGTTTAAACACATTTTTTGTTTTTACTTTTTTAATAAAAAGTGTTATGGGGTGTGAGTGTTTAATAAAAAATGGGGTGTTAATTGAAAAAATCTCATACAAATACACCATGTAATTTCATTACATTATTTTATTTATTATTTTTTAATTTACAGAAAAATAAACACAAAGGAGGATAAAAAAGAACCAAATTTAATAATTTTTTTTTTTTGTTTTTATTTTTTTATTTATTTTTTTATTGAAATAATAAAGATTCTTAATATTACATAATAATATTAATACATAGTAAATAATAGTAGTTATAGTTTGTATAGCAAATATTTTATTTTAATTTTTTTAAAAATAATATAAAATGTCGACTATTATAAAATCCAATGAGGCTAAGGTATTAAAAGAAAAAGCAAATGTAGAACTTTGGAATAAAAACTATACTCAAGCCCTAAATTTATTTACAGAGGCATTGGAGTTAGATCCGGATAATATTGAATACCATTTATCAAAAGCTGGTATGTTTTTTTTTTTTTCATTTTTTTTAATTTTTTTTTTAATTAATTTATTTTATTAATTTTTTAATTTTTCAATTTTTTTTTTTTATAGCTGTTTATAATTTATCAGGATTATTTTCAAATGCAATTAAAGAATGTAAAGTTACTTTAGAAAAAGGAAATAAGAAAAGAAAAAATTTAAAAGAAGAGGAGGAGGTTAATGAAGTTGACCAAATACTTTCAAAAGCATATGCCAGAATGGGTTCAGCATATTTGGGTGCCAATCAATTAAAGGAGAGTAGATCTTGTATCGAAAGTGCAATTACATTACAACAATGCACAGAGTTTGATGAAATGTTAAGAATGATTGACGATCTAATCGACTTTACAACCAATGAGGCAAAGAATCTCTTTAGATTAGCCAATGAGGCATATTATGGAAAGAAATATGAAGATGCAGTTCAGCTATACACTGAAGCTATCGATATTGACCAACAAAATAATATTCTCTATTCAAATCGTTCAATGTGCTTTAATAAATTAAAACGTTATCAAGAGGCGCTAGACGATGCTGATAAAGCTATAGATATAGAAAATAGAGATAGTCATCATAGTTATTTACCAAGATACGCAAAAGGCAATGCTTTATATTTTATGGGTAAATACCAAGAAGCCTTAGAATCATACCAAGACTCTTTGAAGAATAAACCAGATTCACCAGTATTATTAAAGAAAATTCAAAAGACTTTATATAAAATAGAAATAATGAAAAAGAAAGATTCAAATAATGATAATCCAAGTGGAAGTGGTGTTGGTAATAAAAAAATTAAAAAACAACAACAGCAACAAAAAGATAATAATAATGGCAAAAAAGAAAAGAAATTAAAAAATAAATCAAAAATAAATAAAGATAGTAAAAATAATAAATCAAACATAAAAAATATAAATGATAATGATATTAATAATGATAGTAACAATAGTAACAGTAATAATAGTAATAATGAAGCAGGTGAAAAAAAACCAATACCAAAACCAATGATACCAATTGAAGACCAAATTTCAGCATTAGCATCGGAGTCAACTGCTGTACCAATTGTTAATAATGATGATTCAGCAATTAACAAATCAACCAACTCTATAGAAAGCAATCTCGAAACATCAGAATCATTACAAGAGGATTATTCAATTAAAATGGTACCATCTTCTACCTCACCAAGCAAACCAAAATTTATAAAAAATCAAGATGATAATAATAATAATAATGATGATAATAATAAAGAAGAAAATATTGATGAAAAAGAAAACTCTAAGGAAAATAAAGATGATAATGTTAATGAAAAAGAAGAAAAAGAAGAACAGGAAGAAAAAGATCCACAAATTATTAATAATGAAGAAAATCAACAAAATGAAAATCAAGATCAAGATCAAAAAGAAAAAGAAGAACAGGAACAAGATCAAGAACAAAACAATGTTGGTAAGGGTATTGAAATTTTTGAAAAACGTACTCAGGCTAAAGCTGAAGAAGCAGCTGCTTCAAAGAAAGGTAAAAAGAAAAATAAAAAATCTAAAAAAATCAAACAACCAGCAATGTAATTCTTATAAAATAGATATTAATCATTATTATAACTCATAATAATAAATAATAACAATAAAAAAATAATAATAGTACCCTTTAAATATTTAAATAAAACTACTTGATAAAAATAACATTTTTAAATGGAAAGTTAAATTACCTCAATAAAAGAAGATTATTTAAATAATTTTAAAAAAAAAACATTGGTTTAATTAGTATGTGTGTTTTTTTTTAAACAGTTTTGAATTATTATATTTTTTAATTTCCAGTGGGTGTTAAGAGGGGTTAAAATATATTTGTTTTTTTTTTAAACTGTTTTTTATATATTTTTTTAAAATCTTAGATAATTTAATTATTTTATTATTAATTAAATTTTTTATTTATAAAAAAATATTATTTTATATATGATAAAAAATTTTATAAAAAAAAAAGTATTTAGTTGGGGTAATCTACAAATTTTTTTTTTTGCTTTATTAATTTAATTTTATTAAAAAAATTATAAATTAATTTGACTTTTTTTTATTTTTTTTTATAAGGTTTGAAACAAACATTAAAATAAAATGGATGATAACATTAATGAAACTAAAAATATAGAAAATAATGTTATAGAAAATAATAATGATCAGTGTAATAATACAGATAGTAATAATAATAATAATGAAATTTATAACACAGAAAATAATTTACAAAATAATATTGAAATAATAAAAGAAGATAAAAAAATTAATGATGATATAAAAAATGAAAATATTTCACATTCTATTGAACTAAATAAACAATGCGGTAGTGAAATTAATAATAATATAAGTGACCATATACCAGAAAGTAGTGATATTTCAAACAATAATTTAATAGATACAAATAATATCAACTATAATAATGTTGGTGTACAAATTACTTTTGAAAATTTATCATATAAAGTTATAAATTTAAAATATAAAAAACAACTAAAAATAAAAAAAAAATATGAAGAACAAATTAATAAATTAAAAAGAGATAACAAACAAATTGATTTAGAAAAAATGGAATCTAATGAATACTCCAATCAAGCAACAAGGGGTGGGGATGTTATAGAAAAAGAACTAACCATTTTATCGAATGTATCTGGAGTTATTGAAAAAGGGGAAATGACTGCCCTTTTTGGACCATCGGGATCAGGTAAATCAACACTATTAGATATTTTAGCAAAAAGGAAATCTACAGGTTCAATAACTGGTAAACTTTTAGTTAATGGAAAAGAACTTGGTGACGCTTACAAAAAGGTAATTAGAATTTGAATTTTTTAAAAAGTATAACAACTTATAAAATTTATTAATTAATTTTATATTTAAATAGTACTGTTCCTATGTTACACAAGAGGAAATATTATTAGAAACATCAACTGTAGAAGAAACATTAAAACTTCATGCAGATTTAAGATTACCAGGGATGAGTGATAATGATAAATGGAAAAGGGTATACCAAGTATTGCAAGATATAGGGTTAACAAAAAAAGCAAAATCAAAGATTGGTGGAGTCTTACCTGGGGGAATGGTTTTAAAGGGTTTATCAGGTGGTGAAAAGAAAAGAGTTTCCATTGGTTGTGCATTAGTTACAAATCCATCTCTACTTTTATTAGATGAACCTACCAGTGGTTTAGATAGTACATCTGCATTGGTTGTTATGAAAGTTCTCCAAAATTTAACCCAAAAAGGTGTTACTGTTGTATGCTCTATCCATCAACCCAGAGTGCAGGTATGTAAAAACACATAAATAACCACCCATTTTTTAAAATAATTAATTTTAGTTTTTTTAGATTTTTAATTTATTTACAAAAATAATGGTTGTATTAAAAGGAAGGATGTTTTATATAGGTGGAGATGTTTTGGGGTATTTAGCATCTTTGGGGTACAAATGTCCAAATCATGAAAACCCAGCAGACTTTTGTCTAGACTCGTGTATTGAAATTGCAAATAGTTCAGACTTCACAACCATTGTAGATAATTGGGACAACTACTACAAAAATGAAGTAGCCCCAACTATATGTAATAATGATGTTAATAAAGAGGTGGATAAAGGTGTGTCTATGCTTTATCAATATAAAGTATTACAGCATAGGTCTCTAAGATACTTTTTAAGGAACAAAATTGGGTTTGCTTCTCGTGTAGTAATTGGTTTGCTTGTTGGCCTTTTGTTTTCAGCATGTTTTGGTGGTTTAAAAAATACTCAAGAGGATATATCAAAGGAAACTGGAGCTCTTTTCTTTTTAATGGCATCTCTAAGTTTACTACCCTATGCATGCATATCCACATTTTTGTCTACAAGAACACTATTCAACTCTGAAAGGGCTTCCAAAATATACAAAACATTGCCTTTTTTCCTCAGCTCGATGTTTATTGAAATTTTCGTGGGTATCGTTGTATCTGCCATTGTAGTAATCATAGTGTATACCATTTCAAACTTCAGATGGAATTTCGTTAGTTTTATACTCACCTATTTTGGATTTTTATTTATACATCTATTCTCTGTATTTATGGTAATTGCTGTTTCAAATATAACTGGTACAGTGGATTTAACATTCACCTATAGTACAGGTCTCTCAATTATATATTTATTATTTGCTGGGTTCTTTGTGCCAGTAAATCAATTACCAAAAAGCTTTGGCTGGTTGCACTATATTAATCCATTACATTATGGATTCTCAAGCTTAATGATAGCTCAATTTAAAGATAGGGAAATAGAGTGTCCTACACCTGTTCCAAACGACCCATCCTCCATATGTCTTTACCCAAATGGTAATTTGGTTCTCAAACAATTTTCACTTCAAGATTACACCTATGGTGAAACTTTAGGGATATTAATAGTTTGGACATTTTTTTATTACTGTTTAGCCTATTTTGCTATTCATTATTTTAATAAAGAAAAAAGATAAATAAAATCACCTATTATAAAAAAAATTAAAAAAATTAAAAAAAATAAAAAATAAAAAAAAAAAAAAAAAATTCAAAATCTAGATTCATTTTGAATAATTAATAATTTTAAATTTAAAAATAATAAATTAAAAATATATTAAAAAAATTAAATTAGGAACAGATAAATATAAATATAAAAATAAAAATTGTATTTATATTTTTTAATATTTACTTTTTTGTTTAATTTGTTTATATTTTTGTTATTATTTATATGCAAACCCAAAACAGTTATTTTTCATTTATTATTATAATATAGGGGATACAAAAAAAAAATATCATCATACTTAAACAATAAAAAAAAAGATCAAATTTCCATTTATATTATTAAAAAACAAACAAACGACACAATATGCACACAACACCCCACTATCAAATTTTCCAAACATTCTTGTTATAGAAACAAATATTTTTTTTAAAATTTATTTATTTGTTTTTATTTAATTATTTGTTTTTTTTTTTTTTTCCCACCATTGTTTTTTTTTAGTGGTCAGTGTTTTTTATTTATTTATTTTAAAATATATATTTTTCAAAATTTATTTGATTTTTTTTTTTTTTTTTTTTATTTATTTATTTATTTATTTATTTATTTGTTTCAAACCACATAAATCTATATAACTACTACTATTCAATATCATATCATTTATAATTTTTTGTTTTTTATACATACTTATACACATACTTATATATATATATATATATTATATTTGTTTTAAATCTATTTATTATTTATTTATATTTTTTTTTTTTTTTTTTTTATTGTAAAATTATAAATATATTTTTTTTTTTTTTTTTTTAATTATAAATAAAATACAAATACTATAAAATTCAGAAAAAAATAAAATAAAATAAAAATGATTGAATTACAAGAAAGCATAAACCATTTAAATCAATCTTATGTAACAAATAATATAGGTGTACAAATAATTTTTGAAAATATATCTTATACAGTAAAAAATAAAAATTATAAATCAAAAAATAAATCTAAAGATATAATATCAAACAATGATGGTGTCAGTAACATCAAAAATTTAAAAGAAATTACAATTCTAGATAATATATCAGGCATTATTCAACCAGGTGAAATGATTGGGTTATTTGGTCCTTCTGGTTCAGGCAAATCTACATTATTAGATATATTGGCAAAGAGAAAATCAACAGGAACCATTTCAGGTAAAATTTTAGTAAATGGTAAAGAAATTGGTGATGGTTTTAAAAAGGTAAATATAACACTTATATATTAAATTTATAAAAAAATTATTTATATTAATTTTATATATTTATTTTTATAATACTATAGTATTGCTCCTATGTCACACAAGAAGACTTTTTATTACAAACATCAACTGTAGAGGAAACTTTAAAATTTCATGCAGATTTAAGATTACCAGATATGAATGAAAAAGATAAATGGAAAAGAGTCGAACAAGTTTTAAAAGATATTGGGTTGCACGAAAAAGCAAAATCAAAGATTGGCGGCATTTTACCAGGTGGTACAATTTTAAAAGGTTTATCGGGTGGTGAAAAGAAAAGAGTTTCCATTGGTTGTGCTCTAGTTACAAATCCATCAGTGCTACTATTAGATGAACCAACCAGTGGTTTAGATAGTGTTACTGCTTTATCCGTAATGAAAACATTGACAAGCTTGACACAAAAAGGAGTTACTGTTGTATCCTCTATCCATCAACCTAATATATTAATATATTCACTATTCCACCAAATAATGGTAATAATCAAAGGAAGAATGTTGTACAATGGTCCAAATGTTATAGGTTATTTTGAAAAACTAGGCTACAAACTACCAAACAATACAAATCCAGCAGATTTTTGTCTAGATACAAGTGTAGAGATTCAAAATAAAGAGGACTATAACGAAATCTGCAGTCAATGGGAGATTGAATGGAAACAAAGTATATTAGAACAATCACTAAATCAAACACTAATAAACACATCCGAAATAGTATATACAAACACATCAATCTTCTATCAATATAAAATCTTAATGAAAAGATTATTTACCGATTTCTATCGTAACAGTGGGGCATTTGTAACACGTTTATCTTCGGGTATCATTATTGGTCTATTGTTTTCTGCATGCTTTGGCCGTTTACATCCAAGTCAAGACGATATATTAAAGATTGCTGGTGTTATATTTTTCATTTTAGCCGTATTAGCATTATCACCCTTTACAATTGTATCACTTTTTCTTTCAAATAGAGAAATTTTTAATTCAGAAAGAGCCTCCAAAATCTATCATCCCTTTCCATATTATCTTTCAAACATAACCCTTGAAGCTTTTATATTGTTTTTTGTAACACTATTTATTACAACGATCTCTTACTGCGTCAATCATCTCCGATGGAATTTCACAAGTTTTATTGTGACCTTTGTTGTCTATTATTTTATCATTGTTTGCTCTGATCTTTTGGTTATAACTTTGACCAATGTTACTGGTAAATCCGATCTAACTTTTATTTATGGAACCTCAATCGCAATTATCTATTTATTGTTCATGGGCTTTTTAATACCTGTAAACAGTTTACCAAAAAGTTTTTTTTGGTTGCACTATATAAACCCTTTACACTATGGATTTGCAACTGCCATGGTAATTCAATTTAAAGACTATGAACTAACCTGTAATCCAAATCAACCATGTCTTTATAAAAATGGAAATGACTTTTTAAATTTTTATGGTTTTCAAGATTGGACAATACAAAAAGGTATACCGATAATTGTACTTTGGTTATTATTTTTCTTTTTCTGTGGATATTTAGCTTTACACAAATTAAATAAAGAAAAAAGATAATAAATAAAAAAATAAATAAAAAATTAATAAAAAAAAAAAATAGAAAATAACCAAAAAAAAAAAAAAAAACAATAAAATATTAACTTCACAGTTTACAAAATAATTTTATAAAGTTACTTTTATAAAATATAAATTAATAAAAAAATTATACAATATATTTTTATTTATTTTATTTCTTTTTTTTTTTATCGGCAAGGAAACGTTGTATGATGATCAAAAATTGTGCCACGTGTGCAAAAAATAATAAAATTAAAAAAAAAAAAAAATTAATTTTTTTTTCACCTTTTTAAAAAAATTTCCCATAACCATATTATTTCACAAAACTAAATAAAAACTACATCAAATTGAACTGAATAAATCATTGTGTTGTGTTTTATGTAATCAACGGGTATTAACTTCGCCTTTTACTAAGTTTAATCCGTGCATAAAACACAGAAAGACACTTTCACAGTTTTTGTAAGGATTTCGATCCTTCTCCCTAATAATTAAAGAAAAAACCAATTTATAATTATTTCATACATTTATGAAATAATTATAATATTTATTATGATGTATTAATTGATAATATTGTCTATAATAAAAATATTATTAAAATTAATAATATTTTTATTATATAATATTATTATATAATCATTGCATATAATAATAATAATCATATAAAAAAATATTTTATTTATATATTATTTTATTTTTTTTGTTTGTAATATAAAAAAAATAAGTAATAAAAAATAAAATAAAATAATAACAATTAAAAATAAAATTGTTTTATTTTTTTTTTTTATATAATTAAACGAAAGTAATTATAATTTTTTTAAAAACTAAAAAAATAACTCAAGAGGAATTGCTTTCCATATAAATTTTTTTTTTTAATATTTGTTGATAAAATTTTTTTTTTTATTTTTATTTTTATTTTTATTTTTTTTTTTTTTTTTTTCTTTTTTTTTTTTTTTTTTTTTATTTTTTTCTTTTTCTTTCATCTTCACCCAATTTTTCTCATGAAATAAATTTTTTTTTTTTTTTCTTTTAATAATTATTTATAACTTTAAACATTTTTCAACTTTTTTTTAAAAATCTATATTTAATCAAATTCACATTTAAAAAATTTTACGATATGTAAATTTGTATCTTGAAACATTATCACAACAACTAGATTTTTTTTTTTTTTTCGTTGCAATATCTTCATTTCATCTCAAAAATTTACTATTTAAAGGAAGGATCTGGGCTTTTTGTCTTATTTTATAACTTTCGTTTTTCTAAAAATAAAAAAAAAAAAAAAAAAAATTAAAAAAAAATTAAAAAAAAAAAAAAATAAAATAAAAATAACTGTCCCTAAAACTAAAAAAAGATAATTATGAAGTTATACTTCATTTACTATTTATATAAAAAAAAAAAAAAATTATAAAATAGTAAAATAATGTAA